AAAATAGAATTACTCGAAATAAATGCTCGGAACTAGTGACTGTTCCAGAAACTATTCCAGTCGTGAGCTGAGAATAGTTACATCATCGTTTCAACGAACAAACGGCCAGTTCATCGACGTATTACTGTTTAATTCTTCATGTTTCAACAACTAATCCTAATAACTATGCAAGTCAAAAGCAAAAAGAAAGATATATTAACTTTCAATTAACAATCTGAAAATGGCGGACAAAAAAAATCAACAAGGTCTGTGTAACAAAAAATATTAAAAGGTTGGAGCATCGAAATTCATGTTTACATAAAGTATAAGTATCGCTTTTTAATTTCTATTAATTAGTCATATCAAATGAAAATTATGGGTTTTTTAAAAGAAATAACATCGTTGTAATCAATATCACAAATGCATGTATTTCGAAATTAATAATACAGTAGACTCTAACTATATTGCCACTTAACATATTGCCACGCGAGACACTTCCCCTTCACACGAACATTCCAGCACACAAATTCGCTCTCCTACCACGTTGCGTACGCTGGCACACCAGCACGGTTCAACTTTTGCGCAGGCGCTGATGCGGAGGCTATGACAATAGAACTTAGCATGGAAGGGGCACTGAACTCATTGCCATTTTACTCTCCTACAGCCCCGACCATGGCAATATAGTTAGAGTCTACTGTATTGAAATTCGAAATTGCATATACAGTAAAGGCTCTACGAGAGTTTGAAACTCGGGACCATTTCAAAACTTTCACGGTGTACCGTGAATCGTTTCAACACCTCACAAATCTATTGTTTGCCCGAGGTCCGAAACTTGGCAACAAAAGCAGCGGAGGGGGGGGGGGATAAATTATGCGCTTGAGTTCGCCCCCAGTGGTGGCGATGATGTAGAAACTCTAATGAGGAACTTCCAATTCAACTCTCATGGAGCCTTTACTGTGACCCCTTAAATAGAACGCTGCTTTATAAAAATAAATTTCCGTTGAATACCTATATTATTTAAATAGATACCAGCACTCGTGTAAAACCTGATGTGTACAGTGGAAACCGAGCCAGTGACTCATGACAACAGGCGTTCAGTGCATAGACCTACGAAACCTGAACGGCAAGCAAGTATAGCTATTTCAAAGATATAGCGTTAGCTATAAACCTGACCGACCCTAAAGATTATGTGTTTCGGTAACCTAATTCTGTCATTCGATACCCTTGGGTTGTAAAAACTGTGCTCGACCGTCGTTCAGGGGCATTCGACATCAATTTGGAATCGGTTTTTCCGTTTTAATGTAATTAAACAAGATCTTGTAGCGTAGTAATTTCAAATTTAAAATACTTCTGGCTCTACTTCTTGATGAATGCTTACGAAAACGGAAATTTCTTTAAAATATTCCAGTCTTTTTCGTTTTATTCCTTGGAACACCATAGCTGCAAATGCCGTACGACCCTGAGTGCGTGGGACCCAATGGGCTCCCTATGATCGAGTACAACTGGTTTAAGGGTCGGCCACGTTTATGGCTAACGCTATATTTTTCAACCAGCTATACCTTCTCTCGTGGAACAGCCTTAGCTTCCGTTGGACGAGTTTGGCGAAAGCTATACAGGGTGTAACAAAAATGTTGTCCGATCCGGTAATGGGGCACTCGGGGGGTGAATTGGAACAAGTTTTTCCTTAGCAACAATGTAATCTGAGGCTTCGTTACCGAGATATTAACGAAAAACTCCGACCAATCAGAGCGCGAGTTTGCCAGCCAATTTCCCGCGGTAACGCTGCCTACCAGTCGTAGCGCGTAGCTACTGCTAGCGCGGGAACTCAGCTGGCAAACTCGCGCTCTGATTGGTCGGGGTTTTTTGTTAATATCTCGGTAACGAAGCCTCAGATTACATTGTTGCTAAGGAAAAACTTGTTCCAATTCACCCCCCGAGTGCCCCATTTCTGTGTCGGACAACATTTTTGTTACACCCTGTATAGTTTCTTGGCGTAGTTCTCCCGCAAGCTTTATCCGTGTAAGCAAATAAACCGAAGAACAAGCGCGCAGTCTGGACTTTCTCCGATCATCGTCATGAACACGGTGAAGAGGTAAGGAAGGCAAAGAAAAGGAGACAATGTATATGAAGAAGCAGGCGTGAGAATGAAAGTGATACAGAAAGCACTGATGAAAGCTTGTACATAACGAATGCGTGCTGTATTTATATATTATACACAGGAAAACATATAGGTATACATGTACAGTATGTTCCAAAATTGCTTCGACTCCAGGAACCCCTCATTTCCGGGAGTCGAAGCTATTTTGTGACACCCTGTATACATATATGCGTATATAGACAATGTCGCCCTAAAAAGGACACGTAACTGTTATAAAACAATGAAGAAAGTACCATTGTCAATGAGATAACGGATTAATCGTAATACATGTAATTACCACGCTTATTTTTCGCGTAAATAATTGTGCCGAAAGTGTATAGGCACTTTAGCCTAGCCACCTAAGTAAACGTGAAAATGAAATCTTTGTTCGATGGTTCGTGACAATTGTTTTAAAACGGAACTCGAAACTCGCTTCGTAATCGCGTAATCTCGTATCCCGACCATCCGAGTCCTCTTTTATACCGCTTTCACGCCTAAATTCATTGAAAATTTTGCTTTTTAAGTCGAACGAAATGCAATCGTACGTGAATCTTTCATGTACCAGAAAGGTTTCCAAGCGACTTAAGTTTTGAGTGTTGCGACAGCGTAATGTTAGGATTCGTTCCGATTGTCCGGCTATGCGATAAGCTGGTGCGATTTTGACTGAAAATTTTAAACGAATAATAAGACCGAATTGTACAGGTTATATTTGCGCTTTGTGTATTCTATTCAGCGGAATTCGTTGCAACGAAATTTCGTAAAACGAGTTCGGGAGTACCTGTCGCGTTCCCCATTTGATGAATTGAAATCCGTTCTTTTCGAGTTTGTAAATATATAAATAAATGGACGAAAATAAAAAGTGTTAAAAATGAATTGTGTATGCGTGTATTTTTAGACATTCATATGGAAACGATGCTATATTTTCGATATATTCACGCAGAACAAATTGCATCTGGTTAACATTTAGTGTATTATATTGGAAAAAGATTGTAGTTAATTACACTGAAATTACTGATTTACGTTTTTTTTTGTTTATCATCATCACAAATTTATCACGTTTTTTAAAACGTTTATCACATTTCCCATGATGTATACAGGATGTTTTTCCCGCAAAATTTTACTAGCTTATTCTAGAAAAATGGATAAATATGTATTTACAAAAAAGTACAACCTTCCGATCTCGATGACCTTTTAATATGTTGTCCACCCTGAGTAGCATTGAGAAGGTTGTACTTGGCGGTCATTGTTTATTAAAAAGTTATTAACAAAAACGTTTCTTCGAAACAGTTTATTTAGTTTTGTTTATTCATTTACATTTCCTGTTACTGGGTATATGTCTGCCATTACTTTGAAGACAGCATCTAATCTTTGAAGAAAATCAAAACAAAAAAATGCTTCTATAATAAGCATGTAAATTATGTTATTCACACAAAAGACGTCATACGGACCGATCAAAGGCAAAAGAAAACATAAAGAAGACAAATTTTTGTCCAAATTGACCTGACCAAACTCAGTTTCGTATAAAATGATTAAAAATTTTACATTCAAAATAATTTTCTAAATAAACCATGTTTTTATATTACTTTTATAATAATTTAACAGAGACTACGCGCTGCGATTGGTAGCCAACGTTATACTGCGGGAGCTCGGCTGGCAGACTCGTGCTCTGATTGGTCGGCGTTTTTCGTTAATATCTCGTTAATAAAGTTTTTTCTCGAACATTTTTTTCACACCCTGTATACGATTTGTTTTAATCGAAGACGGCTAGAAAAATTAACGTAGAGAATGACTTGTGTGAGAATTATACAAGAATCTTTTGTCGATTAAAGTCCATTATCTTTTTATCTTTCGAATATCGTAATTGATTTTCTCATAAAAGAATATAGGTACTAGAGCCAGCAAGATTTTTCCAATTTACATTTAAACCACCATCGTATGCATGGGCGTAGGTTATCAGGCAAGGGGGGGGAGGGCAAAAATATTAACACATCGACTGCCACAGTGAAAAAGGCTGTACGTAGCCAGATACATTTTATTTTGGTTTTAAAGTCATAAATTGTTGCAAATGTATGTGGTTTGTTAATATGTAGAGGCTGTTGGTCGTGTTTTAAATTATACTGCAATATTAAATATTACGCAAAAATTTTGTACCTTGGAAAGGGTGTGGGGGGGGGGGCAAAATCTAATTTTTTTTCTTGTAAGGTGAGGCAAAAGCCACTTTTCCCCCCTGGCTACGCCAATGATCGTATGGACTGATTTTACATTAAATTCACTTTATAAGTGAAACACAATTCTATTCATTTCTGATTCTGTCACTTCACAAGGGTGTCAATGAAAATATTGTATTTTACGTTAACCCTTTTATTTCTTTGTGTTAGAGTAACATAACAATTTTCGTGTTTGGCATGTGTGGTGATGAGAACCTTACTAGCACGAAAATAACATAGGAAATAATATTCTCTATTAAAGAACAAATATGTACGTGTGTTAATGCTCACTTCAATAAAATCAGCGAGTGTAGATTTTAGTAGTGCGCAGTTACGATAAATAAGGTACATCGAAAGGAACGTGAACGTTACGAATATTACACCTGATGCAAACAATCATCACTCTTAGGTCTTTCGTCGTCGTGTTAATTTCAGGTGCTGGAAACTTTCCATGAATGCTCTATAAAAAAGCGATGAATATTTTTCTCTGCACTTACGTTTTGTACAGCTCGACAAGCTTTCGCCGAAAGTTTCGGATTTCATACAGTTCGATTAGATGGTAACTGTACACATCGACACGAATAACGAGCTCCTGTTTGCAGTTCCAACTGGCTCCAACGTAAAATAAATCTAATTTTATTACAGAATATAAAATACAGTTTGATAACACTTCCTGTTGTAATTTAAAATGGAGCGAGTAACATCAACTTCTACGATACTACAAATATAATTATGCGGCGTTATCCTTTGGGACCAGAAACATCTCCACGAGCTTAATCAAATTCTCAATCCCTTCCAAATAATTTAAATCCAACGTATTCCGATCCTCTGCTGGGAAGACGTGCGTGAAGTCGATCATATTAATCCTAACCCAGTTCAGCTTCTCCTCTGAGGAACTACTGAGATTGCTCAATAGATCGTTGTAATCCTCCCTCATCTTAATAATGTCGTCGTCAAAATTGTTGATGTAAGAATGCGTGTGACAAAACCGATCGACTCTAAAGTCTGGACTACAGGACCCGCTCCTGTTCAATGTTTTTTCTCTCCCCGTCGTCCCGCTGTCGCTTCTTAAGCTGATACTCCGCTTAATGAAATGAACCCTCTCCATCGTTCGGTTTCTGTTCGTATCGGCGATGATTGTATTGCAGGTACCTTCGTTCACGTCTCTGAACACATTCGATACGGTTGCATGATTGCTCGTGGCGGGAAACGAATTGGCCACGTGACTGGTCGATCTTCTGGTATTCGTTTCGTTCAGACGTAGATAATGTTGTAGTCTTTTCGCGTCATACGCCACCAACAGAGAACTAGAATAAAAGCGGAACAACCGCTGGGTACGAAAGAATAGCAAGATCTTCCACAGGAAAGAGAGAAGCTGCACGATCAATTGACGGCAGGGCGGTCTTGCTGGACTTATGTTCAGGAACATTTTCAGTGCTGCGCAGGAAAAAAAGGGACTGTTCGATGTACTTGATAAAGACAAAATATTTCATGTGTCCTGAAAACTCTTTTACTGCGTATATACAGAATGTCCCAAAATAGCTTTGACTCCCGGAAATGAGGGATTCCTGGGGTGATTTAAAACAACTTTTTCCTCAGAAAAAATGTTGTCCGAGGCTTTGTTAACGAGATATTAACGAAAAACCACGACCAATTAAAGCGCGAGTCTGCCGGCCGAACTTCCGCGATAGCGTCGGTTACCAATCGCAGCGCGCAGCCCACGCTATTGCGGAAGCTCGGCCGGCAGACTCGCGCTCTAATTGGTCGGGGTTTTTCGTTAATATCTCGTTAACAAAGCCACGGATAGCATTTTTACTAAGGGAAAAATTGTTTCAAATCGTTCCAGGAACCCCTAATTTCCGGGAGTCGAAGCTATTTTGGGACACCCTGTATTTATCTTGTGACTATAGAGATGCAAATACCCGAAATTCGTAAGAGCGAAGATGTTCATTCGACGTGGAACTTAAACTTTAAACTTACTGCTTCAAAGTATTCTCCAAAGGAGTTAGAAACTTTGAAGATTCACTTTTCGTTTGGAAATCATTACAAAGCAATAAAAATAACAAGAAAGCGCTAGGAAATTTTCCGAATATATGCATCTCTACCGACACAGTTATCAAGCATTTAAAAAGCACAATATTTGTATGTAGGTTCGGAACCAGGCTGTTAACGAAAAAAGACTGCAATGTTAACTTAAATTACGACGAATACTAGAGTAGACGAATCATAACGCGAAACAGTTGCATTCTGACGTATGAAAAAGAAAATTTTAATAATTTTCATTTTATCCTGACGAGGATATTTGTAGACATTGGCAACATACTTGTAATGGAAATATGTCGAAATATGATCTCAAACTAAGTATTTTAAATTATACAGAATATCCTACAATTAGATACACAATAAACAAGAAGACAACTCTCGAACATCTGTGAAGATAAATTGCAGATTTTAGAGTATTTTCTTATATAAAGTTTCGTTCGTAACTTTTAGGGTATATAATACTCGTCAAATAATGAAAAAATGTTTTGGTAAACACGGGTCGGAAGATTAATATTCTCAAGGTTATTTTGTTTCGGTCAATCCAAGTGATTTTCTCGCCTTTACAGCTATTGATACCGTATAGAACTAATTGTTTTCGTCCAACGTCGGCTGCGATTAGCCGATGAGATCGGGTCCACTGAGAGCAGGGACTTAAATCGGTATGATTTTGATACCGGTAATATGCCATCAAAGCTATACCGAAACCGATATATTACCAATAACCGAAATAAATACCGGTATTATTTCGGTTTCTATAAGGGTAGGGCTTATGTAGGGTTATACAGGGCGAAGGTACAACCGAAAATACCGGTATTTTACGTTTCGATAGAAGTCCCTGATTGAGACTATGCACATGCCTCCCAACACGTTTGAAAAGATTGGGTTTGGAAATTGTAAAATAACTAACAAAAATTGTGAAAAGTCTTCTGTAACTAGAAAAACAAACAATGATAAGGTAATCCATTGTCGTATGGTACGATGGCTCCCGAAGCGAGAAACTCGACACACAATCGGACCGCGTAACGATGACAGCAAACAGGACACGTAGAGACCGAGTGGGACAGAGGGGTCCCATTGAAATAACCGACACAGACTTCATCGACACTGTTTTCACCGACAACAATTCATCGACAACAGCTTTGACCGACAACAGCTTTACCCGACATTATTAAATCAGAGTTAAATATTTTTATGAGAACTACTTTATCACGAAGTTACAACAAAATCGGTGATTGTCACATCGGTATGTTTCCCTGTAAGAGTAAGTCTGTTTTGCAGACTTACGTTCTCCCACATTTCGTTCCACAGTTACTACAAGTGAATCTTAATCTACGTATTATTCCTGATTTAAGTGAATTTTGTTAATGGAATGAACTGACTGTGATATTGCGAAATGAACGCAACTTCCTGGGAATCTGTTCCTTGTTACACGTTATTTCTTTTTAATCTCTGTAAGTTCATTCACTTATGGATACATTTTAATAAACAAGATGGACACATCACTGGTTGACTACGGGATAATGAGATCATAAGCTAACCATCCCATTTAATCATAGTACGCAATGCAGCATTGGCAGTAGTTCTAATAATGTAAATAGAATAAAAACTTTTGGATAGAAGAAACTTAAATTACCTCACTGTACACCTGTAGAAGTTTAGTTTTGTCTCTTCTGTTTTGTTATGTTTCCCAAGTGATGCTCCGTTCGGACTCATTTGTATTCAAAAAATTTATTCACAGACTATTAAAAACAATGATGTTTAGAGAAAAGGAAAATTATGAAAAATTTATTTTTCATACATCAGTTATCTTGACTTGAGAATCAGTTGACTTGAGTTAAGAGCAGAAAGACACCATTAGGTATACCAGATTCAGTAAACCTTAAACCAGTGATTATTGTACTTTGCTTAAAATAAGTAAAGGAACATCAACTGTTTAAGTGAATTGATTGAGCAGTAAGATTCATAATAAAATGTGGAGCAGTAATCAAGGCTAATTAAACTGCTACGTCCGACAGCGAACACTCATCGAGGATTTACTGTATAATATTTTCAATAAAAAAAAAAAAAAGTACTGCGTTTCTAGTACTAAATAATGATACTATTTGAACTGCATAATATACCTTCTATGACACCTTTGGCATCAAGTGTCTTGCCATAATGTTTGCCAAACTTTTTTAATTGTCCAGACGAGAGACAATATACTTGAAATCCAGTTATGCAAAATCCATAAGTTCGTTTAGATTCGGCATACTTTAATTCTTCCGTGGCCCTTTTTTGCGGCGTGGCTAAAGGATCCCAGGTACGTCTACCTATCTTTATATCCATCACACATGGTTCTGCCATACCATCGATAATATCTTTCAGCGTAAGAAATGTTACTCCTTAAATTTCATACATAAAATTAACAAAGATCGTTATTAAAAATTATACAACGTGAGTAATTATCTCTAGTAATGTATAACTCGTGCAGATTAAGGTGGTTCGTACCTGACTCTCTAGTCAATAAAGCATCATATTAATAATTGTTATTAAATACCCTCTAATACATTTTAATAATGTATCCAAATTACATCTATAAGATTCAACGACATTTCCATTGATCATTCATCATTATTTTGTAAATAAAAAATATATTTTGGTTAGTCGTATGACTCCACGTTGCTGGTTTCTGGTACGTTTGGCAACGTTGCTTTTGCACGCATATCTACATATATACGTGGTGAGTGTTCAGGTTTCCCGCATAGTCAATATTCAATATTCTTATATCTGAAGTTCATTATATTCTTGTGCATTATAATTTAAAAATTTAAAATTCACTAAAACACAAAATAAGTACTTCAGCAACTTTGCCAAGTCCTCCACATAGTCCCAATAACCTACATATTCTGGACTTTATTGTCAAATATCTTCCTGGAATGTTCGGCATGGTATAAGATTTAGTTCATTATCAGAAAGTTCAGGATTTATACTTTCAGTACCTAGTATTTAGTTAGCACTTCTAATTTTGGTGAATAGAAAGGATTATACTTCCGGTAAGAAATCGTAAGACTGCCATAAGAGCCGCGTTGAAAACTCAATTTTTGTGTGTGTGTATTTTCGTTCTAATAAATAATCTGTATGAATTTAATTATCTAATCTTTCGAATTTGGCACGAACCACCTTAAGTTCTCGAACCCGTGCAGTACATCCAATCATAAATTGTTTGCTAATACTCGACTTCTATTAGTACATTTCTGATTTTATAAATATAAGTTAATTCTTTGAAGGCATGCAGATCATTACACACGCATTGTAAACACGTATCTTTGACACGATTCGCTATTTCCTATGTATACATATAATTAATTCGAAAAAATACTGTTCAATGTAAAAAATTATTTCTCTACTTTACTTAGTATTTGACTAAAACAATGTCGAAAGATCTAATCTTCCATGTTTTATGCACCAAGCATGCGTGTGTATTTATCGTACGTGCTTCATTCCAAAAAAATTTAGAAAATAATATGAGAAGAAGAAACTGACATATTATAATTATATCAAACTGAAAGAATTGGAATACTAAATATCTTACGTTTGCCAAAGATTTGTAACTCTGTTGTACCATAATATTTTGGCACATAATTCTTTAACTGCAACATAACAGGATCTTCAGATTCTTCTAAGCTCTCGTAGAATGCAATTTCCCTTTTTCCGAGTAATGGTTTAACGACAGGTTTAAGTACACGACCATCCGGCCTGCGCAACATACCTACAACATTTTAAGCGACCAACTTTTTAAAATATAGATACAACATGAACATACCGCATTGCCTGCTTTAAAGTGTCTGTCGGCCCATTGCAGCACTACCCCGTCACACTCCGTGCCGTGCGGATTGCCATCATTCAGGCGAATTTTTAAACGCTTATAACTAACAAACGAAGCATTTGTCGCAAATTCGTTACTCTTGATTTTTATTTTATTTTACTGTCTAGAATCACCATTTATAATTTTCCCCACTAGTGGTCAAACACCCTATATACATTAGAGTGACTCTTATTTTCAACTTTTCAATTTCGTTCAAGCTGTCCCCCCGAAATAGTTCCACTTAATATACAGGCTGTCTAAAAAATGTCTCTCTTCCGGGAAATAAGGGGTTGCTGGGATGATTTGAAACCACTTTTTCCTTAGCGAAAATGTTATCTGCGGCTTTGTTAACGAGATATTAATGAAAAACCCCGACCAATCAGAGCGCGAGTCTGCCAGCCGAGTTCCCGCGCTAGCGATGGCTATGCGCTACGCTTGTACTATGAAGCTCCGAACAAGCAAGTCGGCATGCATCCCAGGAACCCGCGTATAATAGCACATAAGAAAAACATAACAAATCGAACATTTTATTATCTGTCGTTTGTCATTTAAAGTGATGAATGAATGAAACATAAATGTAAGAAAATCATATGTAACATAAAAAGATGAATACACAATTATTTTTTTAAACAGAATCTTTAGGAAGCCCGAAGAAAAATGTAGGTACGGAAACTTGCAGAATTATTGCCGGAAAAAAGTCATATGTAGCTTGCGTTAAATTAAAAAAATAATAATCAACAATAAATTGAATAGAACTCACCCTTTCGGAAATTCACCTGTGTCAGTAGGTCACTGTACCGATCCTGGTCATCGACGACCGAAACGGTTTATGGCAGGATATCGCCCAGTCCGCATGTGATCGCAGGTATAGTCCCCGCTTCAGTGAAACTGCACGACGATTCGTTCGTTGCACTTCTGCAAAGCACGTGTTTTCCTAGAACGCTGGTTTCTTTTTACCTAAAACTTGTTGCCACGGTGGGAGTGAACTGACAATGTAACGATGAGAAACTACTTGGGGGTAGAGGAAGCTCTTTCGAAAAAATTCTGTCAGACGGTTAGCAATCGGGCGACAGAAATGTTCAGTTCACGGGAGTATTACGAAATGTTCTGGTGGCACGCACAGAATAACAGATATGCGGCTGCTGCTGTACAAGCGTTTGGCTACGTAAAACATGTGATAAATTGAAAACCATCGGCCCGTTTCGGGGCCCGCCAATTTTCCTAACGTACGAATAACACGTTCGATTAAAAATACATTAAGTGATCGTGTCGGCTGATCAGTGTTAGTGGTCGTGCAGTGAAGTGAATACGTATTCGGTGGAATAACCCGGACGCACTTGACGTTACAACCCTTAACTTCGGCTGGTGAGGTATACCTGCGATCACCTGCGGACTGGGCGATAGCCTGCTATAAACCGTTTCGGTCGTCGATGACCAGGATCGGTACAATGACCTACTGACACAGGTCTGCAAGCTGCAGGTGAATTTCCGAAAGCGTGAGTTCTATTCAATTTATTGTTGATTATAATTTTTTTAATTTAACGCAATCTACATATGACTTTTTCCCGGCAATAATTCTGCAAGTTTCCGTACCTACATTTTTCTTCGGGCTTCCTAAAGATTCTGTTTAAAAAAATAATTTTGTATTCATCTTTTTACGTTACACATGATTTTCTTACATTTATGTTTCATTCATTCGTCACTTTAAATGATAAACGAAAGATGATAAAAAGTTCGATTTGTTATGTTTTTATTATTTGCTATTATACGCGGTTTCCTGGGATGCATGCCGACTTGCTTGTTCGGAGCTTCATAGTACAAGCGTAGCACCTAGCCATCGCTAGCGCGGGAACTCGGCTGGCAGACTCGCGCTCTGATTGGTCGGGGTTTTTCGTTAACATCTCGTTAACAAAGGCGCAAATAACAGTTTCGCTATAGAAAAAGTGGTTTCAAATCATCCCAGCAACCCCTCATTTCCCGGAAGAGAGACATTTTAAAGACCCTGTATACATAATCTACATGAAGTTTAAGCTCGATTGGATAAGGGGAAAAGGAGCCCCTAGGCCCTTGAATGTTTAAGTAATTACTTAAACGCACACAAACTCCTATTCGATTATCCTGTAAGTTAATATGTTATAAGTAGACTGCGGATTTTTATGTATAATAACATTTTCTAAAGTGATTTATAAAGACAGGAGCAAATGTAGAAATTTATTGTTCCCCTGAAGTATCTTATTGAGTTCAGAATAAAATAGAAAACTCGTTAAATCCGATAAAATTTTTGCCTTTTATTGTATTTCACAGAGTCCTGGAGGCTATAAATCATAACATAAGTAATTAATGGTTTCGTAAGAAGTATTGAACAAAAGAGAGTACCTGTCAAGAATAATACCTAAATAAACTTTTTTACAACTTAAATCAATTGAAATACATAAAAATTCGATAATATAATATTTAATATGTATATTTGTATAATAGAATATACAGATACTATGTATACATCTACGTATTATTAACTATTTAATTTATGCTATACAGTATGATGATATTATAATTGGGTTTTAATATTTTCTTATAGTACATCATTTTAGAAATATTGTCTGAAAGTTTGAAGTTGATCCGACCAAAATTGGCGGAGTTATGCTCGTTTAAAATATACGGCCTTGGAAGTTTCGGAGGAGATATAAAGTGGTAGAATACTGTGCCTCAATGCAATTTATGGTTGTGTTAGTAAATAGACAAAGCTATATGAAGTCGTAATACTAAGAATAACTATATATAAAAAATTTGCATTGATTGGGTTGTAAACCTGACCTGAAACTTTAAACGTGTTTTTCTCAAAACCACATTTTCAAAATCGGTGACCAAAATATCTCGAAAACCGCTGCACCGATCTAATTCAGCTTTGGTGGACTCATTCTATACATAAAAATCTAATGCCTGGTCGTGGCTTTTTGTATTTCATTGTGTAGTTTTTATTTTATAGATCAAAAAAGAACGATTTTTTTGGCGAAAATCGATACTTCGACTTTGAACAGACGACTTACAACATTTTGTTGTAAATTAATTTTTCAGGATAATGAACGATCGGACACTAGATAATTTAATATATTAGGTAAATTTGCTCGGATTTTTTATTTTAGATAAACGAACTCGAAGTTACAGTGGTCACAGCAAAACGCCGCCGGGTGATCGCTAATATTTCACTTATGTATTCATATTTTGCATTGAAGAAATTATTATAAGCACTTTAAAATGTACACTTTCGAATACAATGACGTATGTTTAAAAAAGTCTTGAAGTTTTTTAAAAATAAATTACGAAAATACATGCCTTTTTTCGTGCTCGCAGGTAGGCATAACCTCTTACCATAATTATTTAATATTGTTGTAATGCTGTTCATTGAATAGTATTCAATATTCGTTACAATGACTGAGAACTGTTTTAATATTGATGAACAAAATATCTGTTCCTGTTATAGAAAAATTTGTATTCTTATATTTTATAAGTTCTATTTAAATTAGAACTTTTATTTTCAAGAACTTTTGCTCATCTGTTCTCATAGAAACTTATACTATGAGAACGTTTTCTAAAAAAATTCCGTAATTTTTTCAATCCTTGCTTTAAAAGGGTAAACATCGTTACTAGACTAAATTAGACGAAAACTATTGACATCAAATTATGTCCCCCTCAAAACTGACTTTAACTTTTGTTCGAAACATTTTCCGGTATCATGAATAATTTAAGAGATACTCCAAGGGGCTCGTTTAAAATGAGACACCCCGTATTAAGTATTATACGGAGTGTTCGATATGTCAGAAAATTTAAGGTATGAATCTACATAATAAAATAAGACGAAAACCAAGAGTAAAAAAATTACTGTTAAGTATTAATTTTTTGGTTATCCAAAAAGTTGATTGTTTGATATCAATAAAAGGAAATGTGTATTTTGTATTTTGAACCCTAAAGGACAATTTAAAAAATTTGTTCAATATCTTGAGAACTTCATGAACTTTATTATTTTTTAGAAATTATTTTCAAATTGGGCTAGTTTAGACAAGGAAGTATAGGGTACAATGGGTACATCGGCAGGAGTTTTTTTCAAGGTGTTAGAAACAACGACGGGACGATACGGTCAAGCATTCGTAGATTTAGTTTCGTGCTTTCATTACTTTTATTCTTTTTAGTAATCTTTTAGCAGCCAGGCCTGCAGCCAAACTAATATGTGGTTCCAGCAAAACTAAAACATTTGTTAAAAGATTTCGATTAAATGACAAACTTCTACAGACAGAACCATCAACTTTGTCTGAAAACAGAAGTTTTATTAAAGGGTTAGAACTAATTAATAAACTGCGAGTTATCAATGATACGGTAGAGAGGGGTGTTAAATTAATCGAAGACTAGAATACATTATTTACGAAAAATGAGAAGCAAAAAGAGTATGTACACCGAATTGTAAACGTTTATCGCCGACAGTTTCCTGGCTGTAAAACGGAAACTTTGCCTGGAAGCAAACATTTGTAAACAGATATAATCAAAGATCAATAAACCATTCATTTTCGATTAAACCTTCTTATTCCTTATCTTTTTTGTCCTTATTACACATTATTTATCAACTTTCATTACAATAATTTACAAAAATTGTGCAGTTTTTAATTTCTCAAATTTAAAAAAAATAGTCCTTTAGCGTTCAAAATACAAAATATATATTCTTTTCAGTCTTTAGTGATAAAAAGTAATCAAAGCACATATCAATTTTCAAAATCAAAAAAATTTTTACAATTTTTTCCGGATGTTTCTTCATTGTTTTCGAAAACGGTTAGTTGCACGAAAAAAGTAGTATAACATAAAAGATGCTCCTTGTCTAGATCTACAACTTTTGTCTGACATGTTTTCGGATATAATCAACAGGTTAGAGAATAATCGAGTAAAATCGACTTCGTGTGCGTTTTATAGTAATTATTTAAATGTTTAACGGCCCAGGAGATCCTTTTCCCTTCATCCAATCGTGCTCAAACTTCACACAGATTTTTTTATTAATTGAAACTATTTTGGGAGCACCGTGAAAAGAATTCGAAAGCTGAAAATAAGAACCACCCTAGTGCATACAATGAACTCTGCTTTGTAAAAATCAGGTTATCTTCCGACTGTAATACAAACTGAAGTTATGGCGTTAAATTGAAACTCGTGACGGACTTCCGGTTTCTACCAAAGTAATCGACAGTGTATAATAAACACCAGCAGCAATGCATGTCTCATTAGCATTTTTCTGATCGAATTACCAAGTGTAGAAAACGTTTCGTTCAAACTATGGTTTTAAACATCTTTCTCTCCGAACCGTTTAATTCGATCAGGTGCTTACCAATCATGCGTCGTTTGTCGTCAGACGGATGTCCGGCTACCTGAGTCTCCAATGGACTGATTTCATCGTGAAATCCACAACTGGGCGAAATCTCCGCTAACTCCGTGCTCTGAAGTTTATCGAGATGACATAAAGTTTTATCGGTCTGCGTGTCTACGGTCGTCATCGTTATTGCACTGTGTGGTACGCAGTAATTAACTTCTGCAATTAAAGAGTTGCACCGTTCGCAAAGATCTTATCTTCGCTGCAAACTCCACCTCCGCCTCCGACGAGTACACATGGAAGCTTATTCTAATTATCTTCGGCTGTTTTATTTCCGTCTATAAATACAAATGTTAATTGATAAAGAAACTGAAGACATCACAGATAATATTGCATGTTAGAGGTTACAGTGACATTACATTATCACAATGACTGTATAATAACGTGATATCGATATAAATGCGATACATGTATATGTCTAAAAGACTCTCTATCTTTACATATCGTAATGCGAGAGACAGTTTGTGACACGTCAGTGTTGGTAAAATATAATAGAACGCAAAGAAAACTTAAGTCTTTCGTACAACGATGATAACTTTATTTATTAGACTATGTTTACTTCAGAAAGTTATGAATAACGTATAAAAGTAAAATATCGTTAAACAATAATAAAAGTCTGAATGAAATGCACAATGATTCTTGTAAACAGTAAACAAATATCAAGTGCCTTTGTTTAGTATCAAAATACAGTAGGACCTCCGTATCTGCGGTCCGAAAAAATTTAATTCATGTAATCTACCTCTAATAAGTCTGCATAAAAATAAAATAAAACGTTATCAATAGAAATATACAGTATGTACATGCATACGACATATGAGTATGTATGTTTTTATACATACTAACGTGCAAAGTTGGTATCCGCTACAGGAAAAAGCGAAATACTACAATTCTTCCAATTTCCATTACTCGAAAATTAAATTTTAGAAAAAAATTCATTTGATTTATAGATTTATTAATAAATTTATCAATATTCCAAAATAACTATTTTTCTGTGGAGAAACCGAGTTTACACGTCAATGCTCATATGTGTGTAATAGGGTTCGCTACTATCCGCTGATCACCTGGGGTTCTACTGTATAGTATATGCATAAAAGGAACCTGTAGAAAGCAAACATAGTAAACACTACAAAATTACAAATATTCGAAATTAAATCTTATTGTTATCTTCAGTAAAAAATACGCAAATGCATCATTTGTAAGAATTCAGTGTGTGCATTATTGTTAACTGTACAAAGAAATCTGAAACCTATTATATACTATTTTGATAACTCTATCCGTAAACAAATTTTACCTTCAGTTATTCCTTTCCGCTCGCATATCCGCATTTTGTAATTTTGTAGTAATTGTATAAATTCACATCACATTGAATGATATATCGGCACAGTCTCTCAGTGCTCATTCAGATAATCGAAAAGCGAAGCAAATTAGAACGGACATTTCGCGCGAACATTTTTGAACATCGCATTACAATACTCATATATATCGGTAGAGGGCAGAATGTGTTTGTGGAAATTAAATGTTCTAAATTCGCGGTTTTATCAAGAAATCGTGTTATTCGTCGGTCTTTTGAAAATGTAATATTAGCAAGGGCAATACTAGTATAATGAAATTAAACAATTCTCTACCTAATTAGCTACGTCTACAAGGTACTAATGTATTCGTTCGTTAATTAGCACGAGGAAACTTCGTAACCTTTTTAGGAATCGACTTTTAGAGCAATTGAAAGAATCATAAAATGCAGCTCATATGAGGCATACGTACATTTATTGGATATAACAGGTGAATAATTTATTAGCCACTCTTCTTTTACAAATGTTACATCTATGACATTTTACATGCCTATGTATTATTATAACCTATACGATAACCAGTTACTTCCCAACAACACAATATAATGTGCTCCAGATCGTAACACTTTCACGTATGTAACTTCGTTCAAAGCCGTTCGTACATTAGGTGGAATAAAAATTGTGTTCACGACTTTAAACTTCACATAATTCTGAATGAACACACGTCCTTCCACTCGACGTCTTCCTACTTTTCTATTGCTGTCTCTTTCCCCTCTTTCGACACACACTACAGACACAAATTCATCTAAATTCCACCAGAGGGCTAATGTTTTTATCAAATGAAAATCATTCCCGCCGCTATTTCACAATCAGAAAAAAATACGCGTATTACAATATGTAATTTGTTGACCACGATTACGTGCCTTGATCGGTTTTGGTAGGTGGTTTCATTACAATTTTTTTTTCTTGCTTCGGTTTCTGTTAGACAACGTCATAACCTACAGTTTCGATTTAGAAATTTTATCTGTGATGTTGCAGTGAATAAAATAATACTTGTTATAAATTTATCCAATACTTATATTTTACTGTGAATGTGAAACCACGAAAAAAATAACAAGAAAGCGTTACTTAATATTTTTTTTAAATATATGTATATTCTTGTCTGACAACAGATCTACATGCCAGAGGTATGTTTCAATACATAATAACAATATTGAAAGGAATGTAATGACTGTATATTCAACCATAAATTTTTTGCTTTTTCAAGTATACTGTAATGTTACTGTAAATAAAAAGTAAATGTTAAAGGCTGTTAATATTTAAAATTTAAATAATGACAAAAAAACAATCTTGAATATTAAGAAATACAAATTATTATTTGAAAAATAATGAAATTTATTTTATATTTGTTTGTCTTATTAACAGTAATAATACGAATATATTTACAATAAACATATACAATTTTCAGATAATTATCACCTAATACCTTATTAACTATATAAATTTTATTTTAATTTTCACTATGAAACGTTATTAATGTGTTTAATGTAGTATTTATAATTACGAATGACTGTAATAATTTGTATGAAGAATGTTTTTTATTACGCTGTCCATTTTAAACACCTTGTGTCGAGATGTGTACCTAAGCATTTCATGCTACAATATCTTGCACCACAAGGAATACAAGTATAGTTACTAGGAAATCCACAAACTGCACAAAATTGACGTTCAGGAAAGCGAGATGGCGGTGCTTGAGCAGAAGCATAATTTGGAGGATCTGGATTAACATTGAGTTCTTCAAATACTAATTGGTCAAAAGTTTTTCGAAAACGTTGCTTATAATATTCTGCTGACTTAGTTTTTTTCTTTCGACCACCTCTATTATCTAATGTCTCTTGAAATTTTGGAACTTTCTTGCTCATCACTAAAACAGTCAAAACAATTCATACCACAAATGTAACATTAAAACAAATAGAACTTTTAAACAGCATTTTTATTATGCACATACCTAAATCCGCATGAGGATCATCATGAAAATTATCTTGTTCTAAGGCTTCCAATGCTTTTATCTGTCTACGTTGGCGAGCAGCTTCATCGAGCACTCTTTTCTGATACTCATCCTTTATTCTACCAGATTCTCGTGCAGCCATGATTAATTACTGATATAAGTTTTTTTTTATTTAAATCAAATTAAAACAAAAAATATCTTTTGTTCAATAGTTATATTCCTTTTTCTGCTAAAGGAAATGATATTTGATCCATAAGATCATCTACTTTTGTTTGCAATGTATCTAAGATGTCAGCGGATATAAACAAATGTCTGTCATCTAAATCTTGAATTATAAATTTTCGGCCTAATGCAAATGTTTCATCCAGGTGTAAAAGAAATTCCTTCATAGCTGCATCACTGTAAGCATAATATATAAGAATTAACTTAATACTTTCAACTTTATTTTAATTAAACAGGTAAAATGTCAAAACGTAAAGGTGTATCTCTTGACGAGAAACGTGCAAGAATGCTTCAAATATTTTATGAGAAAAAAGAATTTTTTACTTTAAAAGAACTAGAGAAAATTGCACCAAAAGAGAAAGGCATTGTAGTTCAATCAGTAAAAGACGTACTTCAGGCATTAGTAGATGATGGATTAGTAAGATCAGAAAAAATTGGTACTTCTGTATACTTTTGGACTTTTCCAGGGTAAGATCAAATCTATAACATCCATGACAAATGTGGCTAACATGTTTTATGAAATATGTAATCAAAAATATATTATGCAGTGAAAACATTACTGCTATAGAACAGAGAATATCTGAAGCTTCTAAAAAAATAGTAGAGGCAGATTTCAAGCTTCAGAAACTAAAGGAAATTTGTACAAAAGAAAAGGTAATAAAAGAAGTACATAGAAAAAAAGTATTTAACATATTTCAGCTGCAGGAAACAAAAAACATATGTACATGCATTCAAAATAAATGTATTAAGTACATATAAGCTATATAAAAGCTTATTTTAGAACTCAATACAAAAATTTAAATGCAGCTATTGTATACAATGCAATACTACCTATACTTATAATTTTAATTTTTATTAATTTCAAGAATATTACTAGATGTCTGAAGTTATCTAGACCATATAATATGTTAATTTATATCATATTTCTTCTGATATTTTATATTATTGATATGAAATGTACAGATTGGAAAGGAAGATACAGAGGAACGACAAAGTGTGTTACATGAAGTAGAAGAACTAAAGGCAAAAGAGGATCAACTCAAGAAACAAATTGCTAAATTTATTGACGCAGACCCTGAAGAAATAGCTAAACTTGAAGAAAAAGCTCAGGTATAAAATTAGTAAAATATCTATTTATAGAAGATTTACTGTTAAATGGTCCCTATAGGATTAGACCCCTGATTGAATAAACAAATTATTGGTTAATCTGAAAATATATGTCAAATATCATTTTACATGAGGGACCTAGCAAACTTTATATATATTTTAGAAAATAAAATCGTAGAATGTATCAACTGTTTCCCCACTGGGCTTCTTAATGAAAATGTGGCTGGTTAAAGCAGGATTAGATAAGTCTATTGTACTTCAATGAAACTTCCATATATTATGTTTTGCAGGTATATAAAGATGTTACCAATGTATGGACAGATAACATTTTTGCTATTCAAAGTTGGTGCAAAAATAAGTTTGATATTTCTGAAGCAAATCTTAATAAACAATTCAATATTCCTGATAATTTAGATTATATAGAATAAAGAAGTAATTTCATTTATACTAAGTATACTTACCATTCAACCAAAATTCCTTTTGTGACATTTACCATGATTTTCCACTTCTTACTTTCAGAAAAAAGAAGGAAATACAATTTCGATGCGTGCTTGATATTTTTTTAACGTATACATGACAACATGCATACATCGCACTGCACTGCATTGCATTCCATTACCATAGATATCACTCGTTTAAGTAGATTACTATTACGACACAATTTTGTTGAAAATTTAGTTTAGTACATGCTATTCACTGAGAGAGGCACTAGCAGCGTTGCTAGAAATAGGGAAACATGGCTGCATAGAGACAAAGCCATAGACATAATAGACTGCGCAGTCTTATGGTAGGGATGAAGCGAGACCGAAAGACAGAGTAGTGCTGGAGTAACTCGTCTCTTGCTCGCACATCGCAGAGGGAGCGGTGAAAGCGCTGGGGGGCGATAAGGAGAAGGAATGCTGCATCATGCCTGGTAATGCCTCCACTGCGTCGCAAGAGAATTCTCTACCAACAGCCCCATTAAAAAGGGAGGAAAGTTACTCCAGTTATTTTCCTCTCTTTCTAGTGCCGACTTCATCCCTACCATAAGACCGCGCAGTCTGTTATATATACTATGGTACGTGTGAGCGAGGGGCGTTCCCAGGCGTTCCTATGTTGCAATAAGCAAGTTTCTACTGTATTTTAAATGTTATAAACAACACTGGAATAATGGTAAATTTGATTTATACTGTAAATGATATGTCGCTATTTTAAACGCGGATAACCTCATTTTTAATTGTTTTTTAAATAAATAACATAATTTTTAACATAAAAATATAAATTTATACAAAATAGAGAGAAGATTTTTTATGAGAATTCTTTAAGATGCATATTTATTTCGAGGAGTGCTAAGTTAGCTACGAGTGAAGTTCTATTTATACATATCACGTATACATATATGGGATGTAAATGTGTACGTACTTACACTATAGTTACTACATGATGAGTGAGTTACTTCAAGAGATTCTACATTGCGATAATTGATTGGTCCTCGAAAACATGTGTCTTGATTAAAGCACTTCAAAGAATTGCGTGTAATTGGACATATAGTCAACAATTACATAAAGTTGTAAACAATACACGTACGATTAAAAGTATATACATAAATAGGTATTTGTCTTCTTTGTTATAAGTAAAAACATATTCTACAATACAAAATGTACATCAATTTTTAACTAATCTAACAATGTTTTTATAGTTTAAAGTTTGCACGCTTTAATTACATAAATTTATTCAGAATACTAATCTGGAATAACATAACACATATTTTGCATGCATAGGTATTATGAAATAAAATTAGACTAAGTATTATAGAGCACATTATACACAATATTGAATGCTTCTATATATGTATTGTTTAGATATACGTTCTTAAATTTGAATTTAACTTGTTCCTAATAATAAAATGTCATTCGTGAAAAACTGGTGATAATTACTTTTTTTTTTTAGAAGACTTGTAGGTATTAAGTTTCTATGTAGACTGATGTGCAATAACTGATGTAAGACAAAGATTAATACGGACTTTGTAATTTTAGAAATATTATATCATATTGATTTTTATTTATGTTTGGATTCATACTTGATGACTTTATCTACAAATTTGGAATATCCTTTTTTTTAATGCTGCTTTTCCATGTGCATGTAAATATTTTAGTAAAAATGTAACACATTATATAAGTAGACATAAAGATGAAAATTCTGATGTCGTAATTATCTTTTAAGAAGAAAGTTACTTAAGTACTAAAGAGTGTTTCGAACTTTTAAATGAAATCTTGTGTACAAATGTAATTTATCTTATCAGTCTTCAGAAATTTGATATTTATCTATAGCTATTAAGTATGTCATATCACAAGTGATTAATCTTTATTAAGCAATACTAACTAATTTGCATATTGATACTCTTATGTTTATTTAATACTTTCAGTTTCTTTATAAAATAAAGGTATTTAGTCATTTTGATAAATTAATATGCAATTTTCTTTTATAGGATAACTAATTTTGTATATGCAACGAAAAGTTATGTAAATAAGTATAAAACAGTCTTAAGAAAAATTGATAAACTGAACACTAATCATTGTTTATAAGAAATGGAAGGCAAATGTGAAAAAAGTGAAGTCTCTAAACCAAATCCTTGGCCGTACATGAATATAAGTTCAATGACATTATCATTTTTTACCAAATTGGCAACTGCTGGTATTATTTGGGGATGTGGATATCTAAATCTTAGTATAGCATGGTTGATTGCACCCATAGCTTTAGCAGCATGGAAGTCAGAACGCCGAAAAGACAATGAATTAAAAGCATTTACTGCACAAGCTAGCATAATGGCCAAAGAAAAAGAATTAATAATGAGTCGACTAGATGAATTGCCTTCTTGGGTTTATTTTCCTGACTTTGATAGAGCTGAATGGTTAAATAAAGTATGGAAACTTTAATTTATAGAATTATTTTACAATTTCATATTTATATCAATTTCATTTATATTTTTTCCAACTTTTAGGTTCTATATAAAGTTTGGCCAAATATAAATCATTTTGCTCGTGAATTATGCAAACAAAGTATAGAACCTGCTATTGTTGAGAAATTAGCAGAGTATAAAATAAAAGGATTTCAGTTTGAAAGATTGATTTTGGGTCGAATTGTAAGTGGATTTTAACATTTAATTCTAGATGTTTTTATATCTATGTACAAGGTGTTTCTGATATGTATTGAAATATTCACAAGTGTGGTACACGAAACTCCAATGAAACAAAAAATGTATAATAATCACACACTACTATACTAGTGTGTGATTATTGTAGTATTGCAAGTTTATCAGAGGGGAATAGTAAAATAACTTTTATGAAACTTTAAGGATTAGAATAGGTATTTCACACATCTGATAATTTTAGATAATTTAATAATGTTACTACTGTAAAAAGAAGGCAACTCGAATATAGCATTACAAGATGTTTTTTATTCCATGTGAGCTCTTCTACTTGTAGATACCTTAATCTGCTACATTGAAGACACTTTGTATTACATGATAATATATTAACAATATTATTAGTTTATATTCGTTTCCAGCCTTTAAAAATTTATGGTATCAAAGCATATGATAAAAATACTTCCAGAAATGAAGTTATACTAGATGCTGATGTTATGTACGTATTATTAATGTTAATAGTATTCTTGTTTTTCATTAAGGACTTAATTACTATTAATAGTATTATTCGCTTAATTATTTGAGTAATCAATTCTATAGGTATGCTGGCGATTGTGACATCACCTTTTCTGTTGGAAATATCAAAGGTGGTATTAAGGACTTTCAGGTAAAATTTAGTGAATATACTTTCTATGTAGAGGAACTTAGAGCAAAGTGAAATACTCAAGATTTAAGAACACACAGAAGTCACAGAAATAACAGAAACAAATATATTTTGTTACTATATTGTATTGTACACTTTTGTTTTCTAAACTCCATAATATAAAAGCTCTGTTACTTTAGAATGTGGTAAAAGATTTATTCAAAAAATCTACAATTTTTTCACTTTACCCCACTATAGTAGGGTATCCAACGTTAGTAATATATGTAGGGGTAAAGTGAAAAATAAGTCAGAAAAAAATCAAGTATTTATATTGAATATAAGTTCATGAAAAATGGAAAAAGAAAAAGACTAATTTCGGAATATCCAAAATTGTAAAATGGTTAAAATACACTTAAAATACAAAAAAAGAAATAATACACAAATTCAACAAAGTTGTTAAAAAAAATAAAGGAACTGAAAATAAAAATTATATATCAAGCTGAAGAAAATCGAATGTTTCCGTGCCGTAGGTACATGAAGTTCATTAGCATTCTTTTTATTTCGTTTTTGTAAATTGTAGATAATACTTTCATCCTTTATCTCTGGGAATAACAAAACTGAGTTTAGAAGTAACAGTTTGACATATAAAATTACAAATTTTAGAATAAAAACTTTAAGCACATTAGTTCAGCAAGAAACAATCTTACAAATGAATGATAATGCCTCCTAATGAGAATAGCTTCATTTTGTCGCACCATTTCACTTTGCCTTGGTTTCCTCTGTGTACGTTCAATATAGACCATTTAATAAATTTATTAACATAATTTTACGACTCACTTTCAGATTCGAGGAATGATGAGGATAGTTATGAAACCACTTTTACCAGCTATACCTATAGTTGGGGGTGTTCAAGCATTTTTCTTAAATCCTCCAGCTATTAATTTTAATTTAGTAGGAGTAGCAGATGTCCTGGATTTACCTGGATTTAAGTAAGAATATTAAATAACATACATAAAATTATATAGGGAAAATCAAGTTAGGTGGTACAACCGACGAGGAAACTATAAAAGACTATTTTTTTATACATGCCTAATTCTAAAAATCAAATTTAAAAAATGTCAGACATTTCTGCTTTTAAATATAGTAGGCTAATGTGTCTATCTACTATTCCCTATTTTTACTTGTGACAAGTAGTGATATCAACAGATATACTATTTACAACTACCCATCATTTTATTATGAAAAATAATAGTATACTATTGTCAGTGTTCATGAACATTAGAAGAAATAGAAATAATTAATAACTGTCTCCAGTAGCACAGATTAATATACAGTATTGTGTTCTCTGTCAGTAGTCTTAAAGTTCACATGTTCTGCATAAACGTTCTTGTTAGATAACCTTGAAAACTTTCGTGTACATTTTCAGATAAAAATTGTGTTTTCGATTGTACCACCGGTTGTTACATGCATACGTGCGCGCACGTACACATACAAAATGCAGTAAGTCCTCGATGAGTGTTCGACGGCTCCTCGGCACTGACAACAAGAGATCCCCAGGTGTAAAGATGACTTAATGAGGTTTAGCACAATGATAGAGCTTGCAATTCTGAAGCCAATGATATTTGTTTCAGCCATATATGACCATTAGTTTATGAAATATTTAATGTTCACTGCTGAGAAGCCGTTTGAACACTCATCGCGGATTTATTGTATTCTCTATATTATTTTGAGATAAAAGTATAAATAATCCTACATTTCATTTATAGCGACATTCTAAGAAAAACAATTGTAGAACAAATAGCAGCTTTTGTGGTCTTGCCAAATAAAATTGTTATACCTTTAAGCGAAGCAGTGCCTGTTGAAACATTGAAAATGCCTGAGCCTGAGGTAGGTCTCGTTTATAACGGTGTATCAATAAAGGTAATCACGTGAAAGTTTTCTTATTGGTCTTGCTTCTTTGTAGGGTGTTTTAAGAATTCACGTAGTCGAAGCAAAGCATCTTATGAAAAAAGATATTGGAGTATTGGGTAAGGGCAAGTCTGATCCATATGCGATTATAAATGTTGGAGCACAAGAGTTTAGAACAAAAACTATAGACAACACTGTGAACCCAAAATGGGACTTTTGGTGTGAGGTATGCATAATGATTTTTTAATTAAAAACTAGACATTAGTAATATTTAATGCATGTGCTTTGTTATTATTTTTTATTGTAAGTCCATTCAAATTTCACGTACAGCGTCTTTTACGTGGTAAGAAATAATATTATTTAAATAAATAGAAACACATGATATACAAAGTAGCAAAAAGAGAATGAAATATTAGAATATTCTTAAATATAAATTTTATTAATTCAGTTCATATTTTTTTTATATAACCGTTTATGTAATATGGTTACAAATTGCTTTGTCATTGTTTCTATGTGTTTCCCTTATGGAATAAAATGTTCACGGTCTTGTTTTAGTTTTAAGATGTTGCTGATCTAACACTCACCACCATGATTTACTGGTTATTGCTTTTGTTTAGCAAATCCCAAAAAATATAATCTTGTCTGCAATTGCATAAATTATTATTTTGCTTACGACAATACAATGTAATCATTAGCTTATATGTATATGTAGATCGGAAACATCTTAAGTCCTGTCAATTTAATTTAGTTTCATATTTTGGTATGTATGTGTGTATGTGATGTGCGATGTGTTATGTGGGATTAGTGTGCCGTGACATCGGCCATCGCTCAGCAAATTACTGTGCTGCTGTGGGACTATGACGACACCAAAGGCGACGAAAGTTTGGGAAGGTATGAAAGGCATTATTACATATTTTTCATACATTTTATACTGAATTGAAAGGTAAATTTCTTATAAGTAGACTGCGGATTTTTATGCAGAATGACATTTTATAATATGATTCATATAGACAAGAAGAAATATAGGAATTTCTTTATCTTCTTAAGTATCTTATTGGGTTCAGAATAAAGTAGAAAACACAGTGCATATGATGAAACTTTTGTCCTTTATTGTATTTCATAGAGCCTTATAGGCTGTAAATGCATAAAATCCACAGTCTACTTATAAAACTCTATTAATTGTTGTCTCGTTATATTATGTATATTATAGTGTTATTTTATCGGCACATGAAAATAATTAATAAAGTAATAATGTAATGAGGAAAAAATGAAGAATATAAGATTACAGTTCAAAATTTTTTTAAATTTGATGTCATTCTAATTATTATTTAATCATCTTCACCGTTTCACAGTATATTTTCAGTCACATCAATAATGCTAAAGCAATCATTATTATTTCTAAAATAAGAGCATGCAAGTGTTGTTTTGGTTTACAGTAATATTGTTTTGTACTGTTTGGTTTATGAATGGTGTCTGTATGTGTGTCACTTCACTGTGTGAGCAATTATTTCATGCTTTAATATAAGATTTCTAACAATAGAATAGGGTTTAGATTTATTTGTTTCAGTCATATCAATTGTTCGTTTAATAGTGGTATCATTTTACTGTCTGGTAGTAAACTAATTTTACAATTATGATGTATTCATAGTTATTCTATGTGGCACGTATGTACATATACAGTGTAATATTATAATTATTATTATCCAAATGACAAAAAGAATTATATATCAGTATTACTTGTGAAAGATTTATAAAGCAGTATTTTCATTTTTTACATTTCATACACACCCTAATATTGACATACAGGCTGTGGTCTGCTCATGTATAATGCAGAAGGCTGTGGTGTTTCTTTGGGATAGGGATGCAAGCATCCCATGTGTTCAGTATGATGACTTCCTTGGCAGGTAGTTGATGTATTTATGAAAAGTTGTAATATATTAATTAATAATTTAACAAGAACTAAGAATGCCGATTTATTAATTTTTGCATGGCTGTAGTGTGTTTATAAATCTTTCCTAATATATTAATATGATTCTCTATAATTTCTGTTTTTCGATATTAATTGCTAACAGAGTACTATATTGTAACGTGTATATATATACATATATATATATATACATATATATATATATATATATATATATATACATATATGTATACCGTGTGCCATATGATTAAATATGCTTTCTTTATTCGTTACACTGTTTTAGTTGTGAATAATAATTTGTGTATCTCATATTATCCCTAGAAATCTAAGTACCATACCTAGTCGTTAAATCCATTATACATTTTGTTGTATTATTATACATATTTATGTTTTGTTACATGACTAATTTATTTGGTACATTGTTTTTTAGTTATTTAATTTTTAAAGCCAAATTCTTAATTGATCTTGTAATTTGTATTAACTGTATAATCTTAAAAGTTTGCTTTTGATTTTATTTATTAGATTTATGAGAGTGATTAGGTGACTGTAGCTTACAAATAACAAACTAAACTAGATTGTATGATGACAGTTTATAGTGGAAAAGAGCTTGGGGGCCTATTACAACCGAGTGGTTGCCCACCTCTTTGACAAAGACAACGCTGGTCAAGATGATCCACTTGGCAGGTATTGCTACTTGTAGCAAATACATTTTTCCAGGAATAGAATGCATTTGAAACTTATTATATGAATAGTTAGTATAGGGGAATATGTTACTCTTTCTTGATTACTGTAGATTGCGCACTTAAAAGCCTGCTGTATCTTCGAAATTGAAATTGTATTGTTATTATGGTGCATGTTATTGAGAAATATATATTCACAAAACATCACCATGGTAAAGTTACGCCACAAAAATTTTCTGAAGTCTATGTGCTCTTGACAGATATAACCAAATACGGATTCTTTGTTACCATTTTATTCTTTTCTTACACATTTAAAGAAAAAGTACTTTGTTAATGAAATAAAACAATACATAGTCAAGAGTGCTGTTTTGTGTATCGTATTATAATAGACTCAGAATGTTACTTACATGACTATGAATGCATGTAGTATAAAACAAAACAAAACATTTATTGTTTGTTTGTACAATGAATGGTACAGAAGCCATAAACAATGTCTTGCCGCTACTGCATGGATGCTTCATAATTGCATGAAGTATGTCAAAATTTTAGCATATTAATCATAAATCATACTTGTACATTCATCATATAATAAATGGCAAACATTAATAATACAAATATATTTATGTAAAGTAAATGTTATAAATTACAAAATATATTATTTTGTGTACTATTATATATTTCTTATATAGGGCTAGTGTTGAAGTCAGTCGAGTAAAGAAAAAAGGAGATATTGATACGGTAAATACAAAATACAATATCTATATTATAAAAGTAAAACTGCAGCGGTAACAGGATAGAATTTTTTAGTGGGTTTCATTGGAACAAGCAAAACATGGTATGATTCATCTACGATTGACATGGCTTCAACTTTCGAAAAATGTTGTTGACTTGAAATCTGTATGTAGTTTATAACAATATAATATTACACATTCCCAAATTGTTATTATTAATGTTTTAATATGTACAGGCTCTGATTGAAACTCAACAACTTCGAATAACATCAATGAGTACAGCACTTCTCGTTCTTTATATTGATTCAGCAAAAAATTTGCCAGTAAGTATTATATAAAGTAAATGTTAGAATGAAGAAACTTGTTTGAATTTGTATAATTTCAGTGTGTTCGTGGAAACAAACAACCTGACGTTTATCTTGAAGCCAGTGTTGGTGGAAACATAAAAAGAACAGCTACTATATTACGATCTTGTGATCCAGTATGGGAACAAGGTTTTACGTTTTTAGTTAGCAATCCGGAAACTGGCATTTTACACATAAAGGTTATACTCTCTATAAGTGGTTAATTATTTCTTTATTTGCTATTAAAATTTCTTATCCTATGTATTTTGGTTTTTAGATTACAGATGACAAGACCACGCTTCTTGTGGGAGAAATGAATTATAACATTTCTTTGCTTTTGGGGCAGAACAACCTTGAAGTTACGCAGCAACCTTATGATCTACAAATGGGTGAAGCTGATAGCAAACTAATATTGTCTATGTCCTTAAATGTATGAGTTTTTCTTAAGAATTGAAATGTTTATGACAGATAAAAACATGTCATATTTAATAATATATATAGAACATGAGATGGAACCATATAAATGTATTTTCAATTTTTTTTACATACAGATTCTGAAGTATGAACAACCTGAAGCTACTTCAGAAGAGGATGACGATGATCACGACATTACTCAACTTAATAAAAAAATTGAACGCCAAGAATCAAATATTAGCAATATACTATCTTCTAGTCGTAAGTATTTTGTCAATTTATTTCTGTTTAAATATCATATAATGTACATTTTTCAGTTCCACCTAGTCCATTGAGAAGACAGCCTTCAAAGGAGTCAGTTAATAGTTTGACACGTAGTAATGGATCAGAAGCAACAACTGCACCTGAAGAAACAGATCCACCAAACGAAGAGTTGATTGTCGTTACAGCTCCATCCTCTCTTACTGAAAGTCCTCAGTTAATTCATAGAAATCTAAGTGTAACATCATCCGCAGGCGGGGCTAAATTGGGACGAATACAGTTGTCATTACGCTACAGTATACAAAGGCAGAAACTTATAATTGTAGTACATAAAATAGCGTACGTAAATTCTTAACTTAAAAATTGGAAAGTTTGATAAGTGTTAATTGAATCTTTTTTCGCTATTTTAGTAACTTACCTCTGCCACAAAATGATCCACACAATATACCAGATCCGTATGTAAAGCTCTATCTTCTGCCAGACCGCCATAAGGAAACTAAACGTAAAACAGCGGTGATGAAAGACAACTGTAATCCAGTCTTTGATGAACAATTTGAATACGTTGTTTCTCAAGGTGATCTAAACTCCCGTACATTGGAATTATCAGTATGCACTCAGAAGGGTTGGTTATCTGCTGGAAGCAAAGTAATGAGTCAAGTACATATAAGTTTGGGTGAACTCGATGTTACAAAATCTTTCACGAGCTGGTACGATTTGCAACCAGAGACTAAAGACTAGAAAATGAAGAAGAGCAAGTGGAAATTGGCACAGTTGTTTATGTGTATAACATAAAACAAGCACTGAATTTCCACGGTGCAATCTTTTGAAACATCTAAAGCTCAAGTGAAGTGATCAGATAATGAAAAAAGAAATTAAAAAGTGTTTCGTATCACGAATTTTACGAAAGTTTCAAGAAAGTGATAATGGTTATGTTCATTTATTTATACTTCGACCGTCCAATGTCGTCAAATACTTTGTTTTTGTAGATGCCTTATACACTGTTTCATTTGTATTTAACACTATCTAAGCTTATAAAATACTTTTACTAATGGGCAGTGCCATCAAAATGATCTGTTATTATGAAGTATTTACATGATGTGCACAAGAATATTTATATGCATAATATTGTTATCATACGTATAATAATTCATTCGACATTTACAAAATATACCACTTAATATTTTATATACAAGTTGAATAGTCATTGAATTATATTTATTTGTCTTTAACATTACAAACGCTGGTTGTTTGTTTTTGCTTCTACTACGCTTCATCGCTGTTTTATCAACTTCTTTTATGTACGGCTAATTCTATAGATGCGCATTTATGTATCTTAAATGATAAGGTATACTAATAATTTTATGATCTGTTAAAAAATATTATCATCTGCACATTATATTCTTAAATAAGGAAAATAATGATGAAAAATATCGTTCGACATGTGCAATTAGCATAAACTATTGAATCAAATTAATGTAATGTGTACCTATACATGTTAAATTTATACCAGAGTTTTTGCTATATTGTATATTGATATATATTATATGAATTTATGTTTTTTTGTAACTGGTAGGAAAAGATACCAGTATAATGTTGCAAGAATAAATACACAATTTTAAACTGCAGTTTTCTATAATTATATCTATTCCCTTATAAACTCTATGGAACCATCTCCAAGGAAACACAACAGCAGTAAATAGAAGTAACTCTTCTTTTATACGAAGGTGAGGTTGTTCAAAGTGTTATTTACTAATATTAGATTTAGTGGATTAATCGGGACTGCAAAATGCAAGGGGATTACAAGCTTCCTTGTTTACCAGGTTATAATTTCGACACAAATGTAAGTCGTTTTCTAATTAAAAAAAATTTTATGTACAGTTATCTAGTAACAGTCACAACCTCGTACAGAATTTAATAAAATGATATATGTATTGTAAAACAGGTTCTGTATTGTGTTAAGGAATAATTTTAGAATATATCATAAACTGTTTTATTTTTTTAGCTTGGTCGTACAAGATTCCATAGAGATCAGTATTTCGCCAAAATACATGAAGGAGTGTATTATCTATCAGAAAAAGGAGATAAAGGTGATCATGTTAGTTATCCATCGATATATCCTCGCGGAGAAACGCAAGAATTGCCGCCATGGATTGCTTACGATGGCCAAGTATAATAACATACAAATTAATAAAAATCATGTTAATGTTATTAGAGGTGCATTTAACACATTCAGGATATTGTAATTCAGTGAAGTACTACGTGATATACATACATTCGTATTTACTTCAAAAAATCAAAGTAATTGAATATGCATTCCGATTTATGATTGGAAAAGAAATTTTTGGCGCGTTGGTTTGGACCTTTCCTAGTTACTAATCCGTTTTTTTAGACAAATATCATATACATACAAGTTATACAGAAAAATATGACACTACAAATGCAAAAGCAATACATAATTTGATAAACAATATAATATAACAATTTTAAACATACAGAAGAAATTTTTAGATATATGTACGTATAATTACGATGAATATTGTTAGGTAGACTTATAGTACTTTAGCACAAGAAATTGTATAGAAATAAAAGTAACAAGACAAACATTAATAAACCATGCATGCAAATATAGACAAATAAATATATATTTATGAACATGTTCCAGATAGCACGTGATGTCCAATGACGCTTTCAAAACAGCTTAAAGGCGCCTTAGACCTAAAATAGCCGTAAAATCGGCGCCTTTAAGGTGTCATGTGCTATCTGGGTTAGCTTTTATATTCAAACGACTCTTTCAGAGATTGATGTTCAAGGCTTTCTTTCAAGAAACCGTCCAAGAAAGATGGAAAACAGCTTATCAAATACGCGTTGTAAACATCAGCTTCTTTTTGGAAGATGGTACGGTGAAAATTTCGGAACCTCCGACAAATAATAGTGGAATCGAGCAAGGTTTGATGTGTTGTTATTTCCATATATATTGATTATTATGTAATTTTATTATCGTATAGTCCCAGATAGCATTTGACGCCTTCAAAACGCCTATTTTACGGCTATTTTAGGTCTCGGACGACTTTAAGCTGTCCCCAAGACGTCATGTGCTATCTGGGATCACTTCCGATAAATTACAGAAATAGATTGTTGGTCACATTTAAAATAATAATAGCATAATATTTCTAGTAAATGTTACAAATTAAAATAGTGTGACGTAGTACAATACTCTAAATTATTTATAATAATAATTACTTTAGGTTGCATTTACAATAATATGACGTTTACGTATTTTAAAATTTACATTACAATATTGAAAATATTACAACATTTACATATTACATTTCTATTACAATAGTTACATCTTTCGCCGAAAAGGGTATTGTAATAAATTTTCTGTGATCGTTGTCTGTCCTTCATGGGTCCTTCAATCGTATAATACTATAATATAACAGTTATACGATCGAACAAAAGATATGTACATAATGTTTAAACTGAAATAAAACTGTATATTGTATGTACATACAATAGTGTCGTGCTTGTTTAATTAAAAAAAACTTTTGCTGTCATTATGTTCACCCTTATGAATAAGTATAATAATATGATATTCTTTTTATTTTCTTAGTTATATATTACGGATGGCTACCAGCCATTGAAATTGGTGTTTTTTTAAGGAAACGAATGCAATTTTCTTTTCGACATATTATAATCTTTTAATACACTTATTTAACATTGGAATATTATTACAAAATAAGTTTCGTTCCTTTACTGAAACTTAATTTCAACAAGAATACAACAATGATTCAAAAATATATTAAATTATATTATAACAGCAATGGTCTTTTCCCAATCTGTATTTTCGTATTATTTCAATTATATTTTTGAATCATTGTTGTATTCTTGTTGAAATTACTTTCGAGTAAAGGAACGATGTGAATGTAATGTTTTTGAATTTTCTTGTATAGGTGTTTTACTCAGACGGCAGAGAATCCCAATGCCCGATCCGGTGAGATATAGGTTTTATGATATAATTGATTTGAATATTGGCAAAGAACCAGAAATTTACGGGAGAGTGTATAAAATTGTCGATTGTGATAAATTTACTAGACGATTTTTGAATCGAATGGGTATTCCGGTCCCAGATCCGATTGATATTCCAAAAGATCCGTACACTGAACTACAAAAATATGTAAGTATAAAATCTTCTCGTTTGTTAATATGCAGAATCAACTATTTCATTGACATTCATTTATATAGGATGGGCCGGAAATAGTACATCCGGGCAGGGGGTGATTCTACGTTAAAAAAGAAAAAAATATTTTGGTATAACATTTTCTCATCCGGGTCTCCATTTTTGAGAAAATCGACTTTACAGTTTGTTCAACTTGTAAACGACATAGTACAATTTGCTTGTCGTGTATTCCACTACTGCGGTTGTCTCTGTGCGGGACAGTGTTTACAAAGATTGATGGTTGTGCGAATAAAACAATAAAAAGTGTTCCTACTGATTACTCATTTTTTATTCATTTTGACTACTAATACACGACAAGCAAATTGTACTAAATCATTTACAAGTTGTACAAATTTTAATGTCGATTTTCTCGAAAACGGAACCCCGGATGAAAAAATGTTATACCAAAATATTTTCTTCTTTGTTAACAAAGAATCACCACCTGCCCGGTTGTACTACGATTTCCGGTCCACCCTGTATAGCAACGAAGTGAACACACAAAATTAGTTATTTATGAATGAAGTAGAAAAGAATTTATTATAATTTTTCTTTTATTATTATTAAGTTCCATTTATACTACAAATCACTTTTTTTTTAAACGGTATCTTTCCCGTGACTAGCTTAAGTTATAGTAAAAAAAAACTTAGAGTGGTCGGTACGTCACGACTTTCTTCTACCCTTTACAAAGGGCAGAAATCGTGTGAGCGTTTATCAAGAATTTACTGTACATCCAGCGATTGTATCCCGGCTTTATGTCATTTAAAAATACATTATTTTACCCTTTTTATTAATATCGAGTGATTTTGTATTTAGATCGTTAAAATTGTCTAAACATTTGCTATTGCAATACGGATAAAATAGTGGAACGTATCCATTAAAAAAGAACAAGTGATTGCAAAATCGTCGGTCTGCCTTCAACCGCAAAAATATTATTGCTAACATGTTATATTACCTTAAGCGTCGTACAGTTCTCATGTGTAAATTTTTTTTTGTCTTTATAAACATCAGTCTTTCAAGGTAGATAAAATTATTGTTCCACCCTGTATAGATTGAGAACCTTATATTTTTTGTTCGGTGTTACTTGCTTTTTAAAATGAGAAACATACTTCGTCATTTTTCCACAAAATTACGTATATTTATACTACTATATCTTTTTCTGTTAGGCAATTTCTAGCATTATTTGTAATCTCTAAATATTTTTCATCCGAAGAATTTCTATTATTGAAACGCAATATAATACTAAAATTTTTATATTGTAACAGGAATCATTTCCAAAGAAACCCAATTGTAAGATTGACACTCGTGGCGATTTCCTAAAATATGATAGGCAAGTACTCCGATTTTACGGTTACTGGGACGACACGGATAATCTTTTTGGTACCGTTCGTGACCTTGAAATTCATTATTACCTTTCTGATAATACGATGGAAGTAAAAGAGAATGTACCGCCAAATTCTGGACGAGATTCTGGATGTATGTTCTTGCGGCGTATGAAGGTCCCTAAAGTAAGATTCTTTGTATATGAAATTTTCGTATTATTGTTTTTCATCTTAAATTGAGTCATCTTAAGTGAGTACCAAGACATTTCCGTTTATAAATCGCATTATATAACATACATGTCATTCAATTTTCAAGAAATTAGAAACAAAAAGTTGTGTGGCAGAGATTTTTTTCATTATTTCTTGAATGAGAAAAATGAGTTTAAATAGAGAATACTTCTGAAATCGTAGTACAACCGGAAAGGAGATGATTCCTCATGTAAAAGTACGTCGAAAATATACAATACAATTTTTTCGTGTGATGCTTCATTTTCAAAATAATCGAATTTAAAAATATACCTTTTAGATGAACCTTCAAACTCGCCTTTCTTGAAAATGGAATTCCATATGAAAAAAGTTTATTCGATATTTTCGACTTACTTTTACACAAGGAATCACCTGTTTTCCAGTTGTATAATGATTTCGGAAATACCTTCCATAAAACAAGTGTTCATCAAAATTTTAGAATCTCTAACAAGAGATTTAAATTGAAATTGTATACTACAAGCTTTTTCATACCTTCGATACATACAAAAATTTTTATTTTTTGTTTTTCATCTCGAAGATGAGTACACCACTTATGTAAATGTTAACCACAGCTCCCCTTTTCATTTACTTTTTTCTAATTCTCGATAGGATGTAATATTATTCTGTGTAACTTAACAAATTTATGAACTGATTCTTAAATTTAGTTTTTTTCGGAACTGGATCCCATTGGTTCGGGTGATCCTCTTACTGTCTTAAACGTTATAGGAGACAATACATCCACTGGTTATTATTCAATAGATCCATTAAATGCAGGAAAGATGCGCAAAGAGATTTATAAGGACAATGAGCTCAGCATTGGTGCTCACATAAATATTTTTGGAAGAAAAATTGTTATAACGGATATGGATGCATTCACAAAGGAATATTACAGGTAAAACTACACAGAATGATTTAATATGTGTTTAAATGCTATTACAAAAATATCTTTAGCATTACTTATTTTTTAAATATGAAATTAAAATAATTTTAAAGTTGTTGGAAATCACTATACTTATTATACTTTTTTATTCATGTATTTGTACATATATAAACAGTAAACATTAATATGACCTTGAGATGACCTTCAATCTCATAGCCTAATTTCCCCCCTAAAATACACTAACTTTCTCCCGAACCATTTTTTGTATCGTGACAAATAAGAGAATAATTAAGGGTAGCAGAGGTAGGTGGGACACCCTGTATAAGTTGTGTAACAGAACTTTTCAAGTTACAAGCAGAATCGAATTAAGAGGGGGCTAGGGGGGGCTGCAGCCTTGGGCTCCACTTTCCAGGGGGCCCCGATCTAAGTCTTCTATTTATGTAAAAAAATAATTGAATGAAATTTTGTTTACTGTTTTCCTTTTGCCATAATTAGAAACTACACGAAATGTAGAAATAAATGGAATCAATGTTGTTAAAATATAACGAAGCATTGTTGGCTATCCTCAAGCATTCGTTATGATTAAATGTTATTGTAATTAGAATAAATTTTAGTTTTTGACAATTTATGAATTTTATTGTATGTTTTATACGATAATTGCGTCCCCCCCCCCCCACCACGCTTTTTAACCAAGGGGGCCCCTGGAGGTTTGATAGCCCTGGGCCACAGAAAATCTTAATTCAGGCCTGGTTACAAGTTATGACTTGTAAATTCACTAATATTATGAGCTGCTACATTATTGTGCAAGAGTATTCTGGTGAGAGAACTGTGTCCCAGATAGCATATGACGCCTTGAAGACGTCCATTTTACGGCTATTTTAGGTCTGAGACGCCTTTAAGCCCTCATTAAACCGTCCGTGTGCTATTTAGGGTTGTATAATACAACATTTGAGAATAAGATTCTGTGTTTCTTTTAAAAAGCTAAGCCTTAGTATGTCTAGTATACATGTAGGTAACTATTTTATCGTACGAAAGGAAGAAGTATGGTTTGGATGATTTTACACCTTTGGAAAGGCCTCGCAAAGGTGACGAAGTCTGCATGAAGGTACAAAAGTACATTCCGCCTTACAACGGTTTTGGCACATACGAAGATTCCCTTGGAAACTGTTTCACTGTACTGCCGCAACCGCCAAAAATGGACATGATTAAATTTTTGTATCAAGATAAGTAAGTGCACTGTGGAATGGATTCATACTTTTTGTGTAAAATAATTGAAGTTAATTAATTTTTCGTTGCATTCCAGGCAAGGTTTTGACAGTAACGTCTTGAGATTTAGGGCTAAAATGATATCCAACATACCGGAAAACGAAGATAGATTGTTTATTATAAGATTTTTCTTAATGGACGATACGATTTCGATTTTTGAATTGGCAAGAAGAAATTCAGGTTACGTTTCATTCCATGCATGATTAAAGTTTATTAAATAGAATATATTTTTTCAAGAATATCTACAGAATGACGCACATACAATTTAAGGAAATTACCCTAAACTACAATATACAGTAGACATTCGTTTATTGCAACCTTCGGGGCTGTAGAGGGTCAGAATTCAGTTGTGCGACGTACCAGCATATAGGGTGGGCTGGATATACGCATTTTACGATTATCTTCATTATCTTCGTTATTTTTGGAGATATCAGAAAAGTTTATTCACAGAAATTGTTTAGTATGGAAATTTTTCCCGATGTTCCTGTGTATGGAATTTTTTCTCTCAACCTGTATATAATTGTACAACTACTTCCGCTTAAAAAACAATTAATTTTTTCAGTATATTCTCTTCAATTTGTTACTTATAATATTTTACTTTCAAGACCCTTCTTAATATATGTATAAAAGTATTGATAAATGTTTAATTCTTTATCCCGTGATCTCTACTGGAAAATATTAACAGAAGGTTCTCAATAATAAAATCATAGAACAATAGGATTGGATATCTTAAAGATATTATGAAAATTTAATATTGAATATGTCATGATGACTGATTATGAGTTAGAAATAAAATATTATACCTAATAAACTCAATGTAATGAAGTTAAAACATTAATTGTCTATTAAACTGAAATGGGTGTACAATTATACATATACAGGTTGAGTTTTTCTGTTACTCCATATTAGTAGCATCTAAATGAATAACTTATTTTCCTGGAAAAATAGTCACATTGGTTCAGTTTTGCTCCTTACTGTATTTTGTTGCAATCACTTGTGTTTTTCTACACTTTTATACATAAATAAGATAACTAATAAACAAATGTAGTTGTTAATCATTTTGTATGTCACAATTAAACAAATTCAAATATTCATATTATTGATTACATTGTTTTCAATAAAGAAGAATAAATGAAACTACTGTTCAATTAAACATACATTATAAACAATGGTCCAGTAACTTGGTCACATTAATTATCTTCATTATTTCTACAGGTACAAACAAATTTTATTCACAAAACTTATCTGATATCAGAGGGACTAAAAAATTAACAGTTTCTTACATTTTGTATATAAAATATCTCACGTATTATTAATTTTTTTCACATATTACCTTAATATTTTATTACGCAGAATGTTTAAAAGAATCCACTTACGTAAAAAAATATTTTTATTCCACAATATTTCAGTATCATTTAAAAGGAAACATAATTAATCTTAAAAACTCAGGATATCTCCGACCAACGAAAAAATTGCTACTGCAAATTAATGGCCCTTTCCATACTAAACAACTTCTGTGAATAAACTTTTCTGATATCTCCAAAAATAACGAAGATAATGTAGATAATCGTAAAATGCGTATATCCAGCCCACCCTATATGTATATAGGTGCGTCGCACAACTGAACGGCCGAATGGAGGGGAGAGCACGCAGGTGATTGGAGTTTCCTTATTGTAGTATTCCTGGAATTCTGGCCTTCTACAGCCCCGGAGGTTACAATAAACGAATGTCTACTGTATGTAGTTTGCATATCACTGCTTACCTTCTGCGAGATACCTTTGCTAATCGACAGAGTTAATACAGTAGAGCCACCTGTATCCGTCAACTATGTATGTATGCTTGTAATAGGGTGACCGGGATACATACAGGGCCGTTTCTGGCGGGGGCGCAAAAGATGCCCCCGCACCTGGACGGCCAAACAGGAGCGGCCGCAGACCATTTCTCATATGTAAAATTTAATAAGAATAACAATCGCAATTTTTTTGATAGTTCTCAAAATTTGAAACAAACAGAATTCAATCAAATTAATTTTATATGTAATATTTGGAATGCTACTCATATACAAGAATGAACTTCTTTTATACACAGCCCAAAAGAGCATATAATGATATTTAGCGATATTTATTAGATTAAATTCGTGTAGTTTATTAATAGTCGACATTATCAACTATAATATCATTATTACAAACACTATACGTTAGTTTTGTGTCATCTGAAATAAAACGATTTTTTTTAAGGATCTTTGTGTTATTTTATAAAAATAGAATTTAGAAAATATTCCTTTTGCGTAATAACTGTTAAAAAACTATTTATATAGATTAAAACTACTTAAACATACTTTTGTACCATGTATGATGCTTAGATAGAAGCTAATTAAACATACTTTTGTATAGATATAAATGTAAACAGAGCAGTAATCAAATAATATTGAATTAATAAGGGCGGCCATATTGTTTTTGCACTCGGGCGGCCAACAACATAGAAACGGCTCTGGAGACATAACTGTTCGAATGAAGGAATTTTCGGATAATAGAACAATCACTTTTTCATACTAAACTTCATGTATTTAAACAGAGATCAAGAAAATTGATAGTTGTTTAAATATTTATGGATTCCATATTTTCTGGCTGCTAAATTACAGAAATCTGTCAACATAAGTATTCACATAACAGACCGTTCGGATAGCAGAACGTTCGAATAAGAAGGTACAGTAAATCCTCGATGAATGTTCGAAGACTCCAGTGACGAGGAGAGGTCCTCGGGTGTAACGCTGACTTTTAAATGAGGTTTGGCACGGTGATAGAGCTTGGACTTCGGAAGCCAGTGGTGTCTGTTTCAGCTGCGTATGGCCAGTAGTTTATGAAATATTTAATGTTCAGTGTCGAGGAGCCTTCGAACACTCATCGAGGATTTACTGTATACAAATAATGAGTGGGCGAGTACGGGAATCTCTATTTTATTCGGAATCAGTCATTTAAGTGGGTCAACTCGTCTTGTGTTCGATTCATTCTAGAAGAATTGTTTTTTCTACTTCCATAAAGCAATTCTGGATGGTATACCATATTCATATTCATGAATTTCTTATATTTCTCGCTATTCCGCGATACAGACGTCACAGAAAAAGCAGCATAATAGCTCATTTTCAACAAGCTTATAAAAGAATTTATTGCAAGCATAGTTGTTAAGTACTTTTAATATATTTAAAGTTGTCGTCATCTTCATAAAAAAACACAAAAGATTAAACGAGACCAAGATGTATGCTCGGCATTAAACTGCCAGTTTCTCTAATAATAAGAACACTCCATCGAAAGATGTTTATCTGACATATTTTATGTGCATCATCCTGTATGCAAGAAAAAGCATTGTCGCTATTTTTACTTATTTATGTTAATGACATTCGTTTAACGATGGCATAAATTGTTCGAATATGTCTAGGTTTCAGGCGGTGTCTTTTTCAGAAAAGAATGCCCGTGATGTTGCCTAATCAAGACATATTCACGAACTCGAAACCCGATTACTACAAACCGGAGGATTTCTATATCGGAGCACGTATTAACTTACACGAGTTTATCTTTGAACTTACCTCAGCCGATATTTATGCCCTTCGTTATATGGAATTACACTGCGATAAGGTACTATAATTTATATACAGGGTGAGTCATCTAACGTTTGCACCTCAAATATCTTTGTTGTTTTTAAAGATACGTGAAATGTCATAAGGACAAAGTTGAATGGTTCAATGGGACTCATACGATGCCAACAAAATATTTGTTTTTATGTCATTTTGTTAGAGATAAGGTCACTTTCATTTTTTTTAAATGGAACCACACTTTTTTCTGTAACCTTGAATGACTTTGAAAAATTATAGTCACTGAATTCCTAATGAAAGGGGCTATCATTGTAGGTACTTAAAAAAGATGATTCCATTGTAAAAAATGAAGGTGACCTTGATATCTCTAAAAAAATGACATAAAAACATAAATTATTTTGTTATTGTGTGACTCCCATTGAACCATTCAACTTTGTCCTTAAGACATTTCATGCATCTTTAAAAACAACAAATATATTTGAGGTGCAAACGTTAGGTGACTCACCTTGTACATGTATGTCACGGTATTTTACTATTTCACGAGCTTTAAACTCTGAAACACGCGATTAGCATTTCTCGTGACTTCCAATGTCTAATCATACATACACATCTCACGAAAAGATATTGAAATGTTTATATTCTTCAGTTTCCGCAAGCTAATGCCAAAGGAATACTTGGGAAATTACGGCAGATTTTGAAACCAGTTTACAAGCAGTTTATAGAACTTTATACGCCAGCGAAGTCGGACAATGGTCTTCAGATATTGTCTTCTGAACAATTGAGGTATTATTTTTTTATGAAACTAAGTTACATATGTAAAGGAAATCAAGGTAAGACGGTGATATTAAATCCAGATAGCACATGACGCCTTATAGACGCCTATTTTACGGTTATTTTAGGTGTGAGGCAGACAAGTTTTAACACTAGAACTACCAAGCAAGTCAAAATGTTATGACAATAAATTTTCTCAGATCTTTTGCACCTTTTATTACGATATAAAAGTGAAGAAATTGATCAATTTCTAAATTTCAAAATTTTCAAAAGTTTTTCACGTTTATCCACCGATCGAAGCAAATATGAATTTATCGTCGGTAGTTCTAGTGTTAAGCCGTCTTCAAGGCGTCATTGGTCGTTATGTGCTATTTGGGTTATTATATAAAGCGAATGAATTATCCTTGGAGGATGACAAGTTCAACATTTTATCCCCGCCATCTTAGCTCATGTAGGTTATGTGGATAAATAATATCAAAATAGAATTGAGACATCAAATTTATTTTAAACCACTATGTGATATTCAATTCTCTGCACTCTTATAAACGCCAAAATTTACTTTTCATGCAAAACTTATCTTTATTTAAACTTCTATACATTAATTGATTAATTCATGGCATCAAACTATTGCTATTGCATCATCTAATGTCTACTAATTGTAAATAGACATTAGCTGATGCAATGGTAATAGTTTGACGTCATAAAGGTAGATTCTACTTTACATATGTATCATGCTAAATTATAATTACCGACTGATATGCAAAGTTAGTGTAACCACCGACTAGGTATAGAATAGACCTATCATCCAATGCTTTTTTCTGTCCCACGTTCGCAGGGCTACGTAGCCCTGTTATCATTTTAGTGTCAATACCCGATGTTACCGATAAAGCATGAATTCTGAGTATTATTAGCACAAATGAAGTGTTATACGGGGTGTTCGACAACTAGTGGGAAAAAATTTAAGGAGTGATTCTTTGAGGTAAAATAAGACGAAAATCAAGAATAACGAAATTGCAATAAATGTTTAGTTTTTTTAGTTATATGCGTTTAAAAATAACTATGAATGATGGCAAACCGCACACCTCGGATTTATCTGAAATGAAACTATCGACAATGAAATCATATACTTAATCTGATAGTTCTAATATTTCTTTCGTCTTACTAATTATTTACTAATTATTACATTCAGAAAACTCATCCGCCAGTATGCAGATGGTAAAATAACGGAACATGAAATGATTACAATTGCTCGACACTATTCCTCAGACGAAAAGAAAGAATTTCACAGTCGAGAATACGTAAGGTAATAATTTTTTTACACGTATAATTTTGTTGGTAAGTACATTAAAAGTAAGTACATTAAAAATACATGTATGCACAGTGAATACAGAAATATTTGTACAGTCTTATATTAAATACAAACAATACAATAAATCCTGGATGAATGCTCGAAGGCTTCTCGGCACTGACAAGGAGAGGTTCCTAGGTCTAATACTGACTTTTTAATGAGGTTTGGCAGTGATAGAGCCAATTATATTTGTTTCAGCCGCATATGACGATTAGTTTATGAAATCTTTAATGTTCAGTGCTGAGCAGCTTGCGAACATCCATCGAGGATTAATTATATAATCTCAATTAGATTTGTACGCCCTAATATTTATAATACTGTATACTCTAATTTATGAAATTCAAGAATGTGTGAAATTACTGGACAGTGAATGTTTATGCATTTATATCATATTTTAATACACAAAATGTAGTAAAATAAAGATTTTCGTAATACTTAAGGATATTGATTTATTAATATAAACATAATAATACACTTAGTATGGGAACTTAATTTCTATCTGATTTTCATATTTGTAAATTAGTGTTTTTGCATACACATCCGCAGTCGAGAAATTATTTTTACGTTGCAATAATTGGAATTTCAATAAATTTTGTTGATTAAGGCTTGTTATATTTTTGTATTATGTATACATGTATGTAGAATATTCCTTTGTAGGCAGCTAATTCATACAGAACTTTCCCGAGCGTTATGGTTGGACCTTGATCGATTAGAAGAGGATCTTCATCACTCGGATAGAGGACGAACAGGATGTTTACCACGTGATACGTTGTATACTATACTCCGAGGATCTAGAATTCCAGCAGATGTCGAACTGATAAATTCTATGCTCGATCAGTACGTAAATTATTGAAGACGGGAAATAAATAAATTTAGATTTCATTCAAGTGGTCATTTTAAATAATGTCATTAATTTAAAATGTAGCCTTTACAAGAATGAAGAAGGAAAATTAGATTATAACGATATGCTACGATTTATGAATGTGAAAATTGATCCTGTTCCACCCACAGTGCCAATAAACATCAAGGTAATTCTAAAAACTTCAGTTTTAACATTAATACTGTCATTACATAATTTGCATGTACAATTATAAAAAAAAATCGTTCATATATTATAACAACATGAGTTGATTATAAATGAATGCAACCTACAATATGTGGTGTCAATGTCGGATCATATATTAAGCACTAGGTATACAGGGTGTCCCGAAATAGCTTCTTCTCCCGGAAATGAGGGATTCCTGGAATGATTTGAAACAAGTTTTTCTTTAGCAAAAATGTTATCCGAGGCTTTGTTAACGAGATATTAACGAAAAACCCCGACCAATCAGAGCGCGAGTCTGCTGCGCCGACCAATCGCAGCGCGCAGCAAACGCTGTCGCGGAAGGTCGGCCGGCAGACTCGCGCTCTGATTGGTCGGAGTTTTTCTTTAATATCTCGTTAACAAAGCCTCGGATAACATTTTTACTAAGGAAAAACTTGTTTTAAATGACACCACGAGTCTCCCATTTCCGGGTCCTCCAACATTTTTGTTACACCCTGTATGTATTCAACATTAAGTGGTGGTATAAATTGTTTAAACAATTCCTAGACTGCACTTTGGTGGGCGTCGGAGAAGGAACCAGATTGCGGTGCTGGTATAAATTGGTGTGCTTTTATAGAAGATTTAGATATCAAAGACGAAAATGGAGATCCGGCAGAAACACCAAAATACGTACCAGAACCGAAGTGTATTACAATTGAACCTTAATAAGTCGGATGAGTTTTTGATAAATCTCCCATCACATTCTATATTTTGGATGCATAAGATTTTACAACTGTGGATTTTTAATGAATATATTGGATATAATATGTGTACAATAATAAATATGATCATCACGTTCAAAGCGAATAAAAACACACTTTTGTATGTCAAGTATTGTTTATTATATAATTTCCATATAAACTACGTGAAATTTAGCAAATTATTTACATTGTACTAATCATGTTCAAGTAAGTCTAGCATGCCGCTAAAACAGTGTCGTTCAATGTGCAATTTGTGAATGAGTATTCTATTATTCAAGTATGAATATTCAATTATCTGTATTTTTAGTTCTTCAATATGGACGATTCCTTTACTAAATACTTTTTTTTAACGATACTTTTGTCCTCTTGAAACAGCAGACTGACAACATCATGATAACACATCGGAGACACAAAATGTAATAAATAGTAGGCGATATAAATAAGAATTCGATAAAATACTGTGATTATTTACGCTTTATGCAATCCTCTGAGCATTAATAATTTACTTACGTAATCGTTTAATTTACTTACGTAATTCACTTAAATAATCGTGCTCATCGGTCATTCGATTTTCGGTGTGATTCGACGATTCCTAGTAAAAAGTGCTACAAATACGAATTCCATAATAATAATTTTCAATTATATTCAATTTGACGACAATTAATCATAGCTTATAAATAAATTTGACTTTTTATTTCTTCCTGCGTGTGCAACATTTTTGGAAATGCACATGTATTACCATATTTCGATTTAAGATAGATTGGACTTAATTTTATTCTGTTCTAATTCCCTCTGTTTATTTACACTCGTAGGTTTTTATGACTCTTCTACATGTCTTGCACTTTACATAGCAACAGCTGATGTATTTGCAATCACATCGTTCCAGGATGTCTTCTGTTTTCGTGATATGCCCTCGACCGCAGCAAAGATATTCACAACCCTCGTACCCGGAACTGCTGCCATTGCATTGCCTGTACAGAGAAATATCACTCATTAGTATTATTTCAGAGTACCTACAATTATCCTACAATAAATACTATAATGACTATAATACAATTATGTCTATACATGTGCAAGTACTTATGTATACATATAAACGTGTGTCAAAAACTGATTAGTTTACGTGATCAGCCATTTTTCTATATTCGTAAAATTTTCACGTTTTATGATCAGCACTTTTATTATATCAAATCATGTCTAACTGCAACAATTGGAAATATCAGACTACAAAAATGTAAAATTGCAGTTAAAATATCTTTTAAATTAATCCTTTTTTTATATAAGCACCCTAATTTTTTTCTTATACAGAACGAAAAAATACATCGATTAATATACGATCATTAGACTGCGGATTTTATGCATTTATAGCATACAGAAGTTTGTGAAATACAATAAAAGACAGACATTTGATCGAAGTTAATAAATTCTTTATTTTACTTTTACCCACTAAAATCCCTGAGATAAAAAAGAATTTTGAATTTTTACTCCCTGAAACGCCTCTGCTTCCGGAGAAGATACATGCGCCATGTGATTGCCATTTAAATTTTCCTAAGGAAAATTTTGTCTACTAATTTTGTCTCTAAATTTTTTCGACTATCTTTTTGTTTTCGAAAATGCAGTTTAATACAACAGAATGTTCTAAAGCGACAGATTGTTCATTGTCCATCTACTTGTCACAATTCTCTCAGATTAAATGCTAATTTATATTAACTGCAAATTGAATATGCTTCAATTAGAATTGTAAAAAATAGTTTTAAATGGATTTTATGGACGTGTCTCCTTTCCGTTTACCAGATAAAAGAATAAGATATTTCTGGAAAATGTTGCAAAATGCTTGGAGGAACATTTCTCTGGCAATAATAAACAAACGAGTCGAACAGATCTAAAAAAAACTAAAACATACACGCCGTTTTTTATGTAAATATAAAATTAAATGATATTTTTAAAATATGCTTAAGTGTTAAGAAATGTACGTACTTCGTTATCATTAATCCACAAATCTGTAACGAACTTTGAAGTGATCGGTAATTTTGTGTTGTTCGCGTATTGTTTATATTTCTCTTATTCATTTTACAGACAGAACAGTTGATTTCAGAGATCGAGAAATATCTCCATATAGAGGGATTTCCTTAATCCATTTGTTATTCGCCTCTCTTTAATGTTATACTGTATCTAAACAATTTCGCCTCTTTATTACAATATTTAATTACACGGAAACTAATAGATGAGACCACCTCCAAGCATTTCATAATCTAATTGGATGCAAATTTCTGGCCCGCTAATATTTCATTTCTAACGATTAATGTATGGAGCCAGTTTTCTTTGGACACCGCTGGCTATATCGCTTGCCGGTCACAGCTCACAACCGGTAATTATAACCCTCCATATAATTATACAAAGTGGGCGTGGTGAATGTTTATTACGGCATGCCTTCGTCCATTTCTCCGTATACTTTTAAAAATCTTTTTTTCTTAACACTGCATCCGTGTAAAATACACCGTGGCTTGTGCGACTCAATAGTCTCTTCGTTTTATGGACTATTTTGATGAGATTGCCAGAACAGCGAATAAAATCACGTACGAACAAACATATTAAAGCACGTTTTGTAAATTGAATATGCTACAATCAGAATTGTAAGAAATAATCTTAAATGGATTTTATGGACGTGTTTCCTTTTCATTTACGAGCAAAGATAAAGGAGTAAATTATTTCTGGAAAATGTTGCAAAAAGGAATATTTCTCTTGCAATAATAAACAAACGAGTCGAAAGAATATAAAAAACTACAAAATACCCGCCATTTTTTATGTAAATATAAAATTAGATGATAAAATTAATCATAATTAATCAATTAATTAAGTATAAAATTAAATTAGTTTCTAAAAATTTAGTGATGAACGTCTGCAATTTAATGGTTCCTGCATTGTCATTGTACGAGGAAGACTTATTATTTCATTCTTTCGTTTAGCGATGAATCTTGGAACGATTATATAAAGGTGAACTACAATATTCTTAAATTATCGAGCATATATAGGGTGTCCTATCTAAAAATGTACACTTAACTACCTCCTTCATTTTCAATGAAATGAGATATGTTCAAAAACAGTTTCAATGATTTCAGAGGGGGAGTATCGTACATGGAATGTATTTTTTTATGACCATATTTTTCGAATTTTTTAAAATTTAATTTTTTAAATTCGACTGCATATAATGTACGTTTTTTACTACATCATGTACCACGTGTTAAGCTGCATTCAAATATGTCCAACTAATGTCAAAACCCAGATAGCACATGACGACTTAAAAACGCCCATTTTACGGTTATTTTAAGTCTAAGGCGTCTTTAAGCCGTCTTCAAGGCGTCATTGAGCACCATGTGCTATCTGGGAAGACAACATAGTCAAGGTCAAGGTCATACACGAGATTGCCCTTTTTCTACATAATTACCCATACAGAACAAAATACAGTATCGAATATATTTTTGCGAATATCTCGGAAACTAAAGCCGAGCGGCGGTAACATGTATAGGGAAAAGGTATTCAAAATGATGACCTCGACAACACATTTCAAGGTCATTGAAATCGGCGAGGCTGGACCTATTCCGAATAATTACCATTTTGCGGGCTCGGGCAAATTTTCCTGCAGACGTACTTTCTAAAACTTATATTTTTCGATAATGTAACAAAAAAATCGATTCTTTGGAAGATTTAGGAAGATTAGGAAGTCTCCCAAGTTTAGAAACAATGCATTTCACGTGGACTCTGAAAGTTTCTGTTGTGTCAATTAGAATCGATCGATAATAGGATGTGAGTTGATTTATTTTGTATCGTAGATACCCAGATAGCACATGACGCCTTGAAGACGGTTTAAAGACACCTTAGACCTAAAATAGCCGTTCAATGGGCGTTATCAAGGCTTCATGTGCTATCTGGGTGGGACTAACCTGGACTCATTTAAGCCAAGTTTTATATGTAGATCGACGAAATAAAACAAAATTCCCAGATAGCACATGACGCTTAATGACGCTTTGAGGACGGCTTAAAAGCGTTTTAGACCTAACATAGCCGTAAAATGGGCGTCTTCAAGTCGTCATGTGGTTCTTGGTGTCATATAAATTAGTGCTCTATGTATGTGTGCGTTCATTCTTACACTTCCTCTACTTTCTAGAACCAGTCTTCATTCTCAGAATGCCGTGGGTGATCTTAATTCATGAAGGCTGGGGCGTGAATAATTGACAGCAACGAAGAGGCTCCTCTCGCCTGACCTCCGGAAAATCCGTAACGAATGCAATCACCGACGAAAGATATACCTTTCCCCCCTTTTTATTTACTCCTGCTTGTGGTAACACTGATTGTTGCTACTAATTTTTCGCATCGTTCATGCTCGGTGTATCTTTTATTAAACGTTAACTTTCTATACATTATCTACTCGAAATACCTTTTTCTCAAATCGACTGTAAAATGTATTCATATTCTAATCGAAAATTCCTAATGTTATTTCTATTATACAGAGTGCCCCGCTTAACTCTGCCACCCTTAATTATTCTTTTATTTGTCACGGTATAAAAAAATGGTTCAGGAGAAAGTTAGTGTATTTTAGGGGGGAAATTAGGCATAAGATTTAAAGTCGTCTCAAGGTCATATCTTCTGAGATTTCTCTAATGGTAACGTTTTTTTAAATGGAATGCCGGAATGGATACACTAAGATAATAAATAATGTGATTATGGCGTTTACTTTGTTTCTGCAATTCATTTTCTGTTATCTTCCACCTCAACCACTTACGTGTAAAATTTTCAGCCCAAGGTCATTTCAAGGTCATAGTGTGATACATTGTTGGATATGTTTTGATCCCCTCTTTGTAATGGCAAACAAAAAAAAGTAGGGCATTCCATTAAAAAAAACGTTACCATTAAAGAAATCTCAGAAGATATGGCCTTGAGATAACCTTCAATCTCATAGCCTAATTTCCCCGCTAAAATACACTAACTTTTTCCCGAACCATTTTTTGTACCGTGACAAATAAGAGAATAATTAAGGGTCCCAGAGTTAGGTGGAACATCCTGTATGTTATAACCAGATTGTGCGCAATGCAACTGAATAAAGACAAATGTTTCATTTCATTTTGTTCAAATTTTGATTAATACATTATAGGCGTAAATGCATAATTCACAGATTCTAAAGTATCGAAGTTGTAGCTGGGCTTGATCACGAAGATCGTTCGAATATCGTAAAATGGAGGATTTATTTCGTTTTAAGAACAGGTTTCCCGATCATGAGGAAAAATGGGGTTCCGCCCTATCTCGAAGGTCTTCTCTCATAGGTAATTACCGGCACACTCGCATAAATAAGCTAGTATCTGGCTCTGCCGAAGATAACCAAGATCAAGCGAAGGAATTCGTTGTGTGTGGTTTCTAAACACCAACGACCAGAGGAGAAAACGTGAAGAACCGAGCGGATGTACGGGATGGAAGTATTTTATTAGTACACGATAAGGATTAGTTGACTAGTTTGGAGACAAAAATAAAGGCTGGAATCGCGTTGGATAGCAGGTCGTAAAGTGTTGTAAGGAATTACAAGATATTTGTATTAGTCCAGAGTTTCCCAAACATTTACTGCAATGGAACACTTCGCAAACCCGGAAATTTTAACGGAACACTTAGCTTATTTTTTAAGTTGGGTAATTCCTACTAGTAAAAATTAAAAAAAAAATGTTATTAAAACACATTATTTATTTAGTAATTATTTTTAAACATAAAACTATAATATAATATAAACATAAAAGTATGAATATATAAAGCACTTAATGACTTTGATGATAAAACATTTCCAAATTGTCGCGGAACACCTATTCAGGTTCAGCGGAACACAGTTTGGGAAACCCTGTATTAGTCATTTAGGATAGTTTTCTTCTCACTTTTCTTTTTTTTTTCAAGTAAAACGGGAATTGTTTTATTTTAGGAGAATTATTATTTGCGTCTGCATATTATTGTTTACTTGTTTTACCTTCGTAATATGTTGTATCTACATATATAGGGTGTCCCAAAATAGCGTCGATTCCCGGAAATGAGTGGTTCCTGGGATGATTTGAAATAAGTTTTTCCTTAGCAAAAATGTTATCTGAGGCATTGTGAACGAGATATTAACGATCAACACCGACCAATTAAATTATTCGAGAATTCGGCTAATTTTAAAAAATATGGGTGATCACGTTATTCGTCTGTGAGTCGACTAAATTTTTATTCAAATAAAAAATTATTCGAATGAAAATTTATTCGAATAAAAAATTATTTGTTACTGTCGAATGATTTAATTTTATTTGAATTTCTCATTCGAAGATTATTTGAATGAAAATTTAATCGAATAATGCCCCACTCTGTTTGCCATTGACCAAGCGGATTGTTGCCGTTGTTAATCATTGGCCGGTGGATTGTTACTAGTGTTTACCATTGGTCGGAAAATTGTTACCCCTCTTGCCCCTGTGCCACCACGCATGCCATCTCCTGAGTTCTCACCTGTAATCTGACCACTATATAAAAAGTACAATTCTTATTATTTCCAATTTTTCTTAATGGATATGTGTTGATGAGATATTTGTGATGAAGAAGAGTCTAAACACGACAGTGTCTAAAAATGGGACCATTTTTAATTATATATCAACGTATATTCATATTTGTAAGTCAAGTATTAGAAATGTGTATTTTTGCGGAGGATGACATGTGCAAAATTTTCATATGCAGTAAAAAATATGTGGAAACATGAGTTATTTGCAATGTTATTGAAACCTCATTCCGATGTTTTGATGAAACGAAAACCCGTCGTAATAAACTAGCGGTATTTCGTCATTAGAATAATGTCTAAGGAGCAAACATCAAGCGCGTGTTACGTCTGCACGCAGACTCAGCGTGTGGTCTGATCAACACGGATTGTATCCCCTACCAATGGCCTGTCTGGCTATAATCGCCCACAACCTTTGGAGGCCGTCTGCTAAAAATCACCCCATATCCCTGCCACCGAACCTACACCCACTACAGCTAGGTGTCGACCATTCTCGCTATTGAAAAGGAACACCGCAATAGTTAACAATTAACTAGTTACTGCATAACAATGACTGCCCATTAGGCAAGAAATGTAAATTATAAATTAAAAAATTATTAAATGTCTATAAATGGAGCGTTGTTGTACTTTTGCTACCCCATATTTTTAGTTTAGCGTATTCAGCAAATATTAATAAGTACAATTCTTATTAAAAATATTTCAGAAATGTAAGTCATTTACTGGACTTGTACACGTTTTGCACTTCATAAATAATTTTTTTTAAATTACGATAAGGATAAGTAATTATTGTTATAAAAATTTTAAGAACAATAAATGTAATTGCAATTTCAACAGCTGTTTACTTGTTATAAATAAATATATTTAAGTATTAATCTCAAACAGCCAGAAATTCAACAATTCTGTCATTCACTGGTTGGTTTACCGTATCAATAGTAAAACAATCATGTCTAAATGTGATGTTGGCTACGATTAGGCAGGTCGTTTCTTAAATCGTAGTCCTGGATTCTAGTTCCTGGTTGGAGAGGTTTAGAAGAAATATTCGTTTTTCTTAAAACAGTTAGTTGTCCGTGTTTCGTTATTTATTAAGGTACGCTGTGTTTGAAGGATCGGAAGCGAATGTGTGAAAATCCGAGAGAAATGCGTTCGAGAAAGTTGGCGTGGGAGTGAGAAAGTATGAAACACAGAAAGGAAGATATGGGATATATGTGTAATGGTGCATCTGGGGTATCCATATGCGACAATAGATGCTATTTACCTTGCATTTGACTGGAAAATGCAAGCACGTTGGAAATAAAGTGAGTCCGAATACTAGTACAACTTTAACATAATTTTCCCTGAGAACGGTTGAATTGCGACCCATAATTCCTTTCAGGCTTGTTATCCTTATGACGAATAGAATACGATGCAATAATAAAAAAACTTTGACCTTGAATTTCAAGGTCAAGGTCAATTTTGCGGTGACTTTCTCTTACAGATATCCATTGATCCAGAGGTATAGAATAACGCTATGGTAGCCGTGGTACGTGATTTTCAAACACCCTAAACATTATCAATATTGTTAAAAAAAAATCGGATAAGAATTACCTGCCAATAGTTCCTAGGCTTCCTCTTTTCTTATCAGGAAGACAGTAATCCGCGCTTTTGGTAGTATACAGTAAATTATCATGATGGTAAAGAGGCGGTAGTCTTCCACCTGATCTCGGTCGGACTTCCGCCGCGGTTGCGTATCTTTGAAGTAAACGACTTCCTGCTGCTGAAGGTCCGGAAGTACCGAGTCCTCTCCAACAGGTGCGTACACTGCAGGATCCGGATACGCCGTGGCACTTACATTCCAAGGTCAACGATTGCTCGACTGCCTGTTAGTAATAGTATAAAGTAAATGTATTAATAATTCAGCAACACTGACAAGGAGAGAGCGCCAAATTGGGGTCGCCGATTTTAATGAAACTATTTAGACGTGTAGTAAGCTTCTTCTTCTTTACAAATCGCTCACATAGAGGATGCAACAAAAATGTTGGAGGGCCCGGAAATGTGAGACTCGTGAGGTGATTTGAAACAAGTTTTTCCTTAGCAAAAATGTTATCCGAGGCTGTGTTAGCGAGATATTAACGAAAAACAATGACCAATCACAGCGCGAGTCTGCCAGACGAGTTCCCGCGGTAACGTTGGCTACCAATCGCAGCGGGTAGCCAACGTTACCGCAGGAACTCGGCCGGCAGACGCGCGCTCTGATTGGTTGGGGTTTTTCGTTAATATCTCGTTAACAAAGCTTCGGACAACATTTTCGCTAAGGAAAAAGTTGTTTCAAATCACCCCACGAGTGATTGAACCCCCCATTTCGGGGTCCTTCAACATTTTTGTTGCACCTTGTATAGAAGTCTGTGGTCTTCTGTCGGGCGCAGCCCTCCTTTATATTTTAAACTTAGCGGTTCTTAATGAAACTATCCTATTGGGTGACAACGCAATATGGAGGATCTGCGGAAGGGCACGTTATTGACTAATCTGTAAGGCTGCGCACGAACACATGTAGCCCTCCGGCCGTGGGACAAAAAAAAAAGGATGACAGGTCTATTTTATACCTAGTCGGTAGTACCTAGGAAAGCTGTTATAATCGATTGGTGGAAATGTACTGTTACACGATTCTCGATATTATCAGCAGTAGCAAGACAGTATCTCGCTATTGTTGCTACGCAAGTTTCAAACGAGCGATATTTTTCTGATGCTGGTAGCCACACGAAGTAAATTAATTCCAGAAAACGTCGCAAAGTTATGCTTTCTCTACACTTTAAAGAAAAGCACTTTTTCATGCATTATACAGTGTAATGCTTTCTTTCCTTTGATTGATTTTTACAATTAATTACAGACCAATATATGCAAACGTTTTCAAACTTACAAATTTAAGATCAGTCGGAAAAAAATGTCCCGAATCGAGTATCGGTTCCTAAATCGAGTTTCGGGTGCTCAATCAAGAATTCGATCTCGAAATATCAGGTATCCGAACAAATTTATGTGTTGGGCAAACTTTCAGGATTCCATCCGACCCTTCCCGACCCGTATTTTCGGGTAACATCTGGGAAAAAGTAAATCTACAAAGACGCTGCGTAGTATGTACTAAAAATCGCAAAAAAGCAGGACACAAGATACTGTTGTGAAAAATATGACGCGGGGCTGTAAAGACGACTGTTTTGAAATCTATGACGCTTCACTTCTAAGGTAAAGTATTTTCCCTGAACTCACGGTCGTATACCCAGGTCCGGCAATTTCTGTGGTGGGGATTATCCTGTAAGGAAGAATAAAAGTTTCGTAAACCTTCCGCTAGCTACATAGCGCTGCAGTCGTATTATACGTACATCAAGGTTTGAAAGCAAGAATAGGCGCATGCGCCCTGATACGCCATAGGGAATGTATACGGCCGGGGCTGAACCCATGGACTTAGGAATTAGAAGACGGAGAGCAAGGTCTCAATCCTAGGCCCCTGACTGAACCATAAGATCGCAGTGCCCTCGGTTCGTAACAAAGTTCGAAAGTACACTTGGCGTCTTTAAGGGATCACTCCCATCACGGAAGTTTCCGGACCTGTGTATAGGACCATGCTTGGACTGTGTAGTACAATTTTCGTTCCACGCCCTCGGTCATCAAGGGATTAAAAGCTAAACTGAAAACGGGATAAAGTAACATACGATTAAAATTATGTAAATAAGTTAATTACCCTTCGACCTGCCCGGTTGTTGTGCATATTAACGGCGTGCATAAATTTTGTCGTTGCACCGGTACCAGGAGGTGTAGCGCCTTGAAGGAACCTCTTTGCCATTCTGGACGCTGATCTAACATCGTCGCCGCAGCCGCCCCATTTGAAGGAGTTCCTGGCGGACAGTGTCCCGAACGAAACCGACGTCGCGGTGAAGGACGACGGCGAAATCAAAGCGGACGGCGACGGTGGCTCCCTTCGCGGCGGGATTGCACAAGAACAAGCTGCCAGACTTCCTAACGCGCATCCTCTTGCCAGCCTCCAAACCGCAGCTGCGGCCGACATAGCGTATACAAATGCCTGTTCCCTTGTTCCTATATGAAGAGGAGAACAAAACGAAGTTCGTCATAGGATACAGATCTTCGGTGGATTATCGTATACAGGATGATTCATTTAAATCGATCCCCTCAAGTATCTTCGAAACCGTTGAAGATACCGAAAAATGTGTCAGGTAAATGTTGAACGACTCTGGAGAGGAAATAAGATGATGTGAGTAGTTTTTTGGAGGAGGAAGCGTAGAGAATACATGAAGGTCAAAGTTGATTCTTTTTAAACGGAATTATACATTTTGTAATATACTGGTCGATGCAGCTCGTCATTTCTTATAAGCGTTATTCCACGCCAAACAGATCACTTTTTTACACGGTGTCTGGGATTTTGCTCAAATTGTACTATGTTATATTTTATATGAAAATACGGGAGGGGGAGGGGTTGCGTCATCATTTTGCTGGTTTAGAAAATATCTATGTGGATATTAATAATCTGTGGAGCAGCTGCACCTTTTAGCAGCTTTTAATTCCCCGTAGCAGAGATTTTAATCATAATTGTTTTGCATTACAGCAGCAGTCTATTTTTTATAAAATATTTTCTGCCAGTGGTGGTACGAATGTTAATGTATCGGTAGAAATTTCATGTAATGAGACAAAAGGAACGTAAAGACCTAAGTAGCTTCGACTAATTAGTAAGCATTTTCTGATTTAAATAGGATATTGAACTCAGTTTTCATTGTCGGCAATTAGCGAGGAAAACGCGTATACTTTTGATACTGCGGATTGATAAAAGCTTAGCTCCTGGTGTTTCTAATCAGTTTTTTGTTCCTTCTCGCGGATGAATCAAAATAATTGAAGGAAAGCTGATTAGCAATCTGGTGTACGGAACGAGAAGCCCATTTAAGCTCGTCAATACATATTGGACGATCGTGTTTTTCATCAATTTCGAAAATCGGCTTGACCTTCTCAGTTTTCTCATTAACGAAGAGTCTGCTTGTCGGGAAGAATTTTATTTATATCGATTAATCTGCAGGTGGTATGAGGATGGCGATAAAAAGGAAGGAAACGACGACCTTATAATGATCACTAATTGCGGCGGTTCTTTATGGTCTTCCTATTTACCGTCAAATTCCTCAAAAGAAGACCCGCATTTTAGGATACATATTTCCTTTCGTACCATCCGTCTATAGAATATTTTCCTGCTGCATGCTGATAAATATAATAGATCACATATATAGAAGATAAATTATTATTTTGGAGTAGTATAATTTTGTCACATATATGAAATAATGTACATACTTAAAACCTAAATGATGTATATGTCAAATTACTGAATAAAGCACGTAGATTTCTTACACTTCATGCAAACCATCATATGTGCACATAGTATAAAATGTATGATATAAAAATACATTACACAATCTTTATTTAACCACCTTGTTTCTTAACTTTCATCAGTGAGTGTCTCAGCCGAAACCAAACTGGATTAAATTTTAGAGTTTCAGCGAAAGATTTGCTTTCAGTCTCGAGCGATAATGGAAACTACTATATTACACACTTTTACTCGTGATCAGAATTTTGGGCCAAACGTGAATATTACGAGTGAAACTCTTGGTGTCAATGTCGGATCACATATTAAGCACAAGGTATACAGGGTGTCCCAAAATAGCTTGGACTCCCGGAAATGAGGGATTCCTGGGATGATTTGAAACAAGTTTTTCCTTAGCAAAAATGTTACCCAAGGCTTTGTTAACGAGATATTAACGAAAAACCCCAACCAATCAGAACGCGAGTCTGCCGACCGAGCTTCCGCGGAAGCGTTGGCTACGTGCTGCGATTGGTAGCCAAAAGTTATTTCAAATCATCTTATAGGTCTGCCATTTCCGGGTCCTCCATCATGTTTGTTACACCCTGTATATTATTTTGCACATGGCAAATTCGGCATTAGCATTACCTGACGTACACTACGAGGAGGTTGCTCGGTCCGACTTTTTAGGTATATCGCTAAAAAATAACAATTCTTTACGATTAAAGTGAAATAAAATGTATTTTTTAAACAATTCTGTAATCAGCGACATGGTGACTTGAACCCCCCCCCCCCTATTATCACATGAACTGTAACATATTTCAATTTGAGAAAAATCTCAAATATCGTGTACAAAAGCGATCAGCTTGCCGTGGAATGACCCGTATGCGATCAAATAGATTTCTCACTTATAAGTTTAAATATACACCCTGTATATCTTCTTATTTTAATTTTACGACGCATGAAAGTATATGACTAACAGTAAACTACTATTTTCTGCCGTATTCCGTGATATTTTGATAAAAGACATACCGGTTAATAATTCAGGCGTATAATCTGGCGCACGTTCAATACTGCTGCAATTCCATCTGCGATGTCGAAACGCTTGCTGACATACTGTTGAAGTGTCCATTGCTGCTTGTACCAAACTAGACATTATGTCCGGCGTCGCCCTGCATGCTCTTGCCTGCTTTCTTTCCAAAAGGCCGGCCCCCTTCGCACTGGTGCAAGCTTCCCTCGTCCACATGTAGCCATCTCCTGTATGACCGAGAGCTCTGAAATTAAAAAGACGTCAATTAGTGTAAAATTTGGACCCATGTACTATGTTGTCCGGAAAATCCGTAGCGATTTTTAAGGGAAATTCAGAAACGAAAGTATTATATCTATCAATAACTTTATTGTAAGGTTTCACTCTTTGTTGACTTTCACAATAAAAAGTTTATTACGTCACGAAATGTACGAATTACAATTTAAATAAAACAATTCGAGAACGATAACGAATATACAATTAAGCGGCGTTTCCGATATCGCGCCGCGAGTATAATCAGGAGTAGCCCGATGATTGATTTGGAACCGACAGAAAAAAACGGGTCTAGTGAGCACCGTTTGTCTTAGCAGTTGATTAGCGAATAATTGGATTACCGTTGGATTAACGGTAATCCGGGTCAGGTGCCGTATCAAAAGTCACGTAGGCATCTCGCATGACAACAGACAGTGAGTGCGACAAGGATGAACGTTTGTCGCACAAAGAGAGCGAGTCTGTTAGAGCAGACAGCGTGTTAATCATGAGAGGTGGCCCACAGATGGCCTAGTTGATAATCGCGTGAGAAACCGCTCATAACCGTTTCGTTACTAAAAACGCTGCGTATATGCGCATCGCGTTTCGGGAAGGGGCTGACGTCACGAGGCTTCTCGCGATCCTAACCAAATTGTAACGGCTACGCCATTACGCCATAACCGTGTGATAGGCGGCCACGTTCGCCTCGCGGTTTCCCGCAACTATGATTCTGCCTCGCGGCCTTCTAGTACCGTGGCGCGAGGCACAATCTGAAAAAAACTGGACATCTGGCAAAGCAATGGTTTCCCGTACCGAGGAATCGCGCCAAAGGCGACCGCCGCCACCCCGGTCACCGCCTCCGCAGTGACCAATCCAAAAAACCCTGCCGTCGCCGTCAGCACAGCCGCAAACACCGCCGCCGCTGCGAGCACTAGGGCCACCGCCAGCACCAGTACCAGCACCACGGCCCCGTCCCCTGGATAGGTCAGGATTCCCGTCGGGGACCGACACCATGACGACCGTTATCAACGTAAAAGAAATCACGTCACTACGGTCGCCGTATCAGGTAGCCGCCAACGACCCTGGCGCCGTAGAACTCACCGCACCATATCGGGCCGTACACCAGGTAGACGCAAATAACCCCAGCACCGTATACCTCCACCTACCGGCGCTGCGAGTGGGTCATCGATACCGGGTACAAGTCCCAGGGAGCCGGCTCATGTTTCGAAAGGAACACGACGGGAGCCTGAGGGTGCAAGTCCGCTAGACCGCCACACCAGCCTACCTATGATACAAACTACACTCATGTAATTCATGGATAAATAAAACAACTTGTACAGGATCCATGTGTTCGTGTCTCTCTTCTTCCTCACCCTAGGCTCGCGCCTACAAAGAAAGGGGGGATGTAACGGTTACGTGTTACGCCGCAACCGTGTGACGCGAGTGGGGCGTCCCGCGGTCACTCTCACCGCGGTCGCTAGGCGGCTGCGCTCGCATCGCGGTTTCTCGCAGCTACGATTGTGTCCTGCGAGCTATAAGTACCGCGGTGCAAGAGACAATTGAGGTAGAACTCGCTATCTAGCAGACCTGCCGCGCATTCGTCGAGTGATAACGCCAAATTGACGGAGCGAATCCGGCGACGCGCCTCTGTACTGTGCGTCTACCGTATAAATAGTAAGCAGCGAAGCCAGATGTGGGGCCATAGACATGTAGAAGATGTAACAAAAATATTGGAGGACCCGGAAATGGTAAACTCGTGAGGTGATTTGAAACAAGTTTTTAAAATTGTCCGAATAGGTCTTTTAATACCATTCACTTTTCTCATTAATAGTTTTTTTTCTATTACATATGGTTAACAAGATATATTGAAAAAATGAAAAATTCGGCAAACTTTAAGAGGTGAATTCTCACCCCCTTAGAGTGAATTTCAGCCGAAAATAATCGTTCCTTGCATAACTCGATGCCCTCTACAATCTCACAAAGTTTCATTAAAATCAGAATCTGCGAGTCGGGAAACCTTCCTTGTCAGAGGGCGTGCGCACGGGATGTATAATAAAAATTTGTGAAACTAGGAGGCAATTTCATAAATATATATACCAATGGATTTGGAATGAAATGCTCGTCATTTTTTGCCATTATATAAATTTGAATAAGTAGTAAAATAAAATTATAAAAAATTGTTTTGTTATAAACAAATTTTATTTAAGACAATTTTTTAGCACCGTATTATTGTACATGAGAAACCATGAAACTCGCCCATTAGATGTTTTCATGTGTCTCCTCTGGTTTTCGAGATAGTATTTCTGGGTTGAAACTTTAAGGGGTGGTTTCACCCCCTTAAAGTAAATGTCGGCCGATAAAAAAAAAATACATGTCCCTTATTTCTGTTTGCTTAACAAACGTACAAAGTTTCATTGAAATCTAAGTCTCTGGGTTGGGAAACGTTCCTTGTAAGTTCAGGATAGATGCACATTGGGAGAGAAAGTTGTGGTATCTGTTCTATTAAATTTATATCGCTCGTATACACTCTTAATGCGTGGACACGCCAGTGTCTGGAACGGATGACATAGACTAATAAAATGGGTCGCTTACCCCAGCACGTAAACCCAGGCTGGCATCTGCCAAAACAGAAAACGTCAATATTTATAGGTGTACCAGTTCTCGGTGCAACCAGTAACAAGTTCACGAAAGTGTCGCCAATGGGGACGAGCGTATAACGTGAATGGCATCTTGGAAACCACAGTCCCCGCAGTCGTCAGCGGCGGAATAATGAATTAGAGCTGCGGCCTTTTGATAGGGTAATTTCGAGGGTAGGCTCCTGACATGGGGTTGGCGGGCCGGCCATTCCCAGGGCTGTTACGTCTAGACGTATCCGTACTCGAGCCATTTTGACTTTCAGGTGTCCGTAATTATCCTCCGTACAGTTTGCACCGTGGCGCGCGTATCCACCCGCGCCGCTTAAAGGCACCTTTCAACTTCACGCCCTATAATTTTCGAAATTCACCCCTGATTTACGACTCCGACAGAACCGTACGGTTACTTACCGTTGCCCTTTCTACCGTGAATCCGTAACTGCGCGAACCTGTTTCACCTGACGAGAATTTCAAACTTCTGTGCCAACCTTCGTCCCCCTCTCTATGCGAGATTTTTAGATTTCCCGGACAACGGTTAGATATTTTTAATTCTATTGTTTTCTCTGACCGACCGTGTTGTTGGTTTGAAGCATGTACGAATCAAAGACTTTTGTATGTTATCGTATATTAAGATACGAGGTACTAATTCGAATATGGTTAAGGGGATGATCTGGTGTCTCTTAGGTGCTCTGAAATCATATGTTTCTCGAAAGCCTTTTCTCCACTTGTGACTAGTGATGGGACATCAAGCCGGATTTAAGTCGATCAAGTCAGATGACGTCACGGGACCTCGGCTTGCGGCAACGGTATCTAATCCCTATAAGCCTTCGGCGACCGACGTTCAGGTTACAATGTAACACACAGAACGAATCACCCATGAATAAAAATTTTAACTTTTACTTCTTTTAGTGTACTTTCTTAAACATGTTATAAATAAATGTAGGAGATTCTCCTGATGTAAAATAACTCCAAACACGACATAAATCAGACTATATTTAATAACATACAATTCGTATCGCGACATTAAGGGAAAGGTGGCATAATTGGTTACAGTTTTGCCTTCTCGTTGAAGTAAAAATAATTGTTTATTTTATTTATATCTCATTATTTGCATAAAGATTCTTAGTATTGTTGCTGTATTGTAACTTGCAAGCATTCGATAATGAAAAACTACTTTCAAGTATTAAACTTGGTGCTATTCGTGCATTGTTTTACTATGCTGATGTAGTATTGGATGTTCCATTTATTCCTTGAACCAAAATTTAGGTACTTTGCTGCTGGGGATATCTTGTGAAATGTGATTGCAAGCATCTTATATTTGCTTGTATACGTAATTATTTATTTATGTAATTATGTACAATCTGTATATATAAAAGAAGAAGTCTTACTTACTTGTTTAATTATAATTTTGTTTAAAAACAATTGTACCAAATCTCGAAATCTACGCGAGCGAAACCGCGAGAAAAAAGCTAGTAGATCAATAAGCGGCTTATCGATTTCCAACTCATTCCTATCAAATGTGTATGGAATTGGTCATGCTGTATTCCTCGATTAAAGTGATTGCATTAAGTTTATGTCTTAATGTTAGATAGCATTATATTATTTTATGCATTTTACTTGTACATTTGCTTCTATACCGTATTTAGTATTAATAAATTTCTTATCTTTGCTTCTTATATTATCCTTGGAATATGCTTGAATTAAAATAATTGTATTATGTTTATGTCTTAATGATCAATGGATTAATGCACTGTATGTCTGCATATTATGTTATGTTTCTTACAATATATTGGTCTACAATGTTATTGTATGTGCTTTACCATGTTTAATTATAATTCATTTTATTCAGAAATTCGTATTTGTTATCATTTTTTAGGGTTCTTAATTTTTTCCACCTAGAATTTCTAACCGAAAACTTGGAGATAATTCTGTAACAGGTGTCCTGGTATTTGCAATGTGTGCCATGTTTTTCAAAAATTTTACGTGTCTCTGAATAGGGAAATGCAGCGAAAACAATTTTTATTCAAACGTTATGTCGCGAAACGAATTGTATGTTATTAAATATAGTCTGATTTATGTCGTGTTTGGACTTATTTTCATCAGAAGAATCTCCTACATTTATTCATAACATTTTTAAGAAAGTACACTGAAAGGAGTGCAAGTTAAAATTTGTATTCTTTGGTGATTTGTTCTGTGTGTTACGTTGTAACCGAAGCGTCAGTCGCCGAAGGCTTATAGAGATTAGATACCGTTGCCGCGAGCCGAGGTCCCGTGACGTCATCTGACTTGATGGACTTGAATCCGGCTTGGTGTCCCATCACTACTGGTGACTAGTTGCGCGACCACAAAATACATTATTCTATAC